CTTGACAGCTTTAATACGAAGTCGTTAAGGCGTAATTTGCAACTCTACCTATGAACAAGCAGTCCACATGGACACATTCTCCGACAGAGAGGTGGGGAGTCTTCCCAGATCCAGTATATCGGTCTGAGGCCTGACTATATGTTACATTGAACATGCATGTGGACCACTATGCGTACATGATGCCTTTTCGGCTGCGTTTAGACAAGTAGCACATTTCTGATTAAAAAAATTATAAGGCTAATGTTATCCAAACATTTAGTTAAACAGCTGGGTCATGTGATGTCTTCCTTGGAATACCGGTACTGAATAATACTGTATCATCACTATCAGCACCCTGTAAGACTAACGAGTTACTGAGTGTCATTCTGATCATAAGAGGGCACTGCTGGCTGGGGAGGGTTATCACTCACGCTGATGTCCCCAATAATTTTTTAAGGGGTAGAAAATCGAAGTGCTATCGTTCAGACAGCTGCTCTCTAGGAGGCATTAGCTGGCTGTCTGGATAAGGGTGACCGTGGGTGCAGAGGTTGGGTACAAGATTGGAGAATGCACAGGGCCTAATGTGAACAAACACAGAAACATTTTGAGACTGCCTACGATGGATGTGAAATCCTGATGCTGCTCAGGCTGCCAGCAGGACATTTCATTTATGTGGCCGTTGTCATAGTCAGTTGTGTGTTGGTTTATGTTGAGTCAAAATATGTACGAAGGCCCTGCATAGTCAACATGGTTACAAAATGCACATGTTGAGGATTGAAGAAAGGTAATATCAGGTGTCCCCGTTGTCATGAGAATTTCTATCTCTAATTCAACCTAAGCTTGAATCATTACCAGAGGTTGTAAGGCTCTGGTTTTAATCATAAATGATTCAAGGTCCACAACCAGCAAGAATGATCTGTATTTTTATTCATGGAGAGCTCTGGCGCCAAAAACCCATACACTCCTGTTTTATACCCCTTGACACACAAAGGCACTTTGCTCCGCCCACCTTTAGGAGGCTTTTTGTAACCCGTTTTCTCAGTCCCCTTCACCCTGGAATGTTTAGTCCCGCCCCCCTCTGTTAGTGGGTTGCCACTACATTATAACTAACACAGTTCACACATTTATACTGTATTTGGGGTGAAATCCTTTAGTAATTATTCTTAAAATACAAATTAATCTAACACCCGTACTCTAGCTAGATATGTTAAATATAAAGGCTTAGAATTGAAAGAAAATAATAAAACTGTTTAGCCTGCAGCCAACCTGATCTCTTTTCATTAGCTCTCCTTCTGAGATAACCCACACGTCTTTTTGTTTGTTTCCCTCTACCTGACTGCCTCTATGTGACCGGGACATTTTGATAACTCCACAGAGGGAGAGGGTAAGTATGGAGAGAGACAGGGAAGGGGTATAGGAACACATGGGGAGTATCTCAAATGCATAGATTGCTTTGGGATAGGTTGGCATAGTCTCAAACCTTCCCCTTGATCCCTGTGTTCCAATGCATAGGGTTCCACCTGGATACAGAGTGCACTGACTTCCCTGTAGGGAAAGTACCACAATGTGGTGGAATACAATGGACTTGAAGACTGGAGAAGAATGTAATCTATTTATCTGTTTAAATGTTGACTTTGCATTATGGAACAATGGTACTTTCCTGTGTCATCTCACTTGTACTAAAAGCATATACAGTAGAAAAACATGTATTCTTCATCCGAGGATAACGTATAGAGCAGGAGTACTCAATTACTATTTGAGAAGGTCCGGTCACAAATTTCCTAGGTGGCAAAAGTCTGGATGGATAATGTAATTTATCGGCGTAGTAACAAACCCCCACCTCACAATCCATGCGACCCCAAACTGTTCACACCCCTCTTAAATGTATTTTTTTTTACATTTTAGTCATTTAGCAGACGCTCTTATCCAGAGCGACTTACAGTTAGTGAATGCATACATGTTTTTGGGGGGGTTTTTCATACTGGCCCCCCGTGGGAAACGAACCCACATCCCTGCCGGCCAAACCCTCCCCTACCTTGGACGACGCTGGACCAATTGTGCGCCGCTAGCACTGCGATGCAGTGCCTTAGACCACTGCGCCACTCGGGAGTCACTCTTCTTGGTGGAGAGAAAATGTTGCTGTTTTAACGCTAATTTCCTGCAATTCTATGCATTCTTCCATGTCTTGTGTGTGTTTATATGATTTTTGTTTTTTGTTTTGTTTTTTCGGGACCTGTGGTCCGTATTGACCCTGTTCTGGGTCCGGATCCGGATCTGGTCCACGGTCCATCAGTTGAGTATAGAGAATGAACACGTAAAAGGAATAAATTAATCAAAGGTGACCTGTCTCAGTGAGTAACTGTACATGGGAATGCATGACAGGAAACTCAACAAATAAGATGCTCTTTGTACTCCAGACTTGTTTGTGCTGTGAAGGGATGAGTAAATGTTTTCTTTCCCTCACCCCCTGAATGTTGGGAATCTCATGGAGGCATCTACTCTTTGCATGGATCTTAGGAGATGCAACATTAACAATTCCATTAAGCCTACTACTGGACTAAAATTCATGCTCACTAGAGAATCTCTATTAAAAGTTGTGCTTAAAAGGAGAAGTTCAGTATTTTACAACTCAACGTTGGATGGCTCCTCACCCTGAAAGTAGTCTATGGGCTAGGAGATACTGTAATCCATGGTTCGGTTTTCTTTAAGCAGCCACTACAAACTTGAGCTAACTTTAGCCAATGCTAGCTAAAACTCCATGGAAGTGATAGGGGTACATGCATGCAATGTGGTACATGCATGTTATGGCGGTTTTGGAGCAGTGGCTTCCTTGCTGAGCGGCCTTTCAGGTTATGTCGATATAGGACTTGTTTTACTGTGGATATAGATACTTTTGTACCCGTTTCCTCCAGCATCTTCACAAGGTCCTTTGCTGTTGTTCTGGGATTGATTTGCACTTTTCGCACCAAAGTACGTTCATCTCTAGGAGACAGAACGCGTCTCCTTCCTGAGCGGTATGATGGCTGCGTGGTCCCATAGTGTTTATACTTGCATACTATTGTTTGTACAGATGAACGTGGTACCTTCAGGCGTTTGGAAATTGCTCCCAAGGATGAACCAGACTTTTTTTCTGAGGTCTTGGCTGATTTCTTTTGATTTTCCCATGATGTCAAGCAAAGAGGCACTGAGTTTGAAGGTAGGCATTGAAATACATCCACAGGCACACCTCCAATTGACTCAAATGATGTCAATTAGCCTATCAGAAGCTTCTAAAGCCATTACATCATTTTCTGGAATTTTCCAAGCTGTTTAAAGGCACAGTCAACTTAGTGTATGTAAACTTCTGACCCACTGGAATTGTGATACAGTGAATTATAAGTGAAATAATCTGTCTGGAAACAATTGTTGGATAAATTACTTGTGTCATGCACAAAGTAGATGTCCTAAACAACTTGCCAAAACTATAGTTTGTTAACAAGAATTTTGTGTAGTGGTTGAAAAACAAGTTTTAATGATCTAACCTAAGTGTATGTAAACTTCCGACTTCAACTGTAGATTACAGTTCATCTTTGCCCATTGACTACTTTCAGGGGGAGGAACCATCTAACATTAAGTTGTAAAATAAAAATGAACCAGTGTCTGACTGACCACTTTTTTAGAACCAAGACATACTGTTTTGCAATAATCTTAATTTAAACGTAACATCTTCCCTAAATATCATGATTCATATTCTACCAAAATCAATGGCCGGTTGCCTTACTTCAGTAAGTAATTTCATGCTTGTTAATTAATGTTTAACCTCGATAAACATCCATCGCTGCTTTAGTTGATTTTGTTGTGTCTTTTCAGTCATGGTGTGATTCATTGTTAGTATTTCATCAACACATTCATGAACTAACTCAATTGACTATCATTATGTTAATTATCGCATGCTGAATCCTTTGATGGTTACATGTTGCATCTGTAAATGGGAAAAGATTTTTCCGTCATTTGATCAAATAAAACAGACCAGGGACCCATTCATTTTAATGTGTAATACCTTGGTAACATTATCTAACTCATTAATTTCATTCGTAACCTGACTTTTATTTTGTTTCATTGGTTCCCTTTTGGTTTATCCTCTGCTCTCCTGCTGCGGAATGCATTATCAGGTCAAAGTAAGTATAAAGGGTGAGAAGAAGACACCAAACCTAGAGTAGCCTGACCCTGCGTGTATGTCCCACCATTGAAACGTGTGACTGCCAACATTCATTCATTCACTTATTTGTCATAGAATAGAGTTTTTAGTGGATGCTAGACAAATAAATGAGTCAATAAATTGATCAGTCCGATGGCGCATGAGGTTTCTGGGCCTTGTTGAGTCCAGAGACACTCTGACTCCATGAACAAGATAGGCCAAGAGGTACTGCAGTTGTGCAGTATCACAGACTCTTTGTCTTGTTTGGCTCTAGATGGCTGTTTTGTTTGTACTGTAGCTATTTTTTGTAAGTGTAGAGCAAGCTTTTGAGTGTTTATGTGAGTCGTCAGGCCCTATTGTTTGTGCAGGATTACTGTAGCGCTGTGTGCATGGAATCTTGTGTTCACAGTCCAAGCTAGTGCTCAGAGCTGTGGGAGTTGATGTTGGACCAAGTTCTGCTTGGTCTTATACACACACAAAGCATGCGCTGTTGGAGAGTGTTTTCAACTGTTGCAGTAAGGTATGTCTAATGTTTCCCTCTGTGATACTACCTTGTTGTTTACAAGATCATTTCAACCAATAATTTCAATCTTGATGGATTTGACCATCCTAGCTTGCTTGATCATTCACACCTGTTGTATCTATTCTGTTGATAGCTTGTTTCATGTTCAGTGCTTGTTTTTCGGGTCAGCGCTCCATGTTGTCCATTTCATTGTATCATGTCCGGTGTAGTGCACTTAAAAGCTTTTGGGAATCAAAATGTGATGTGGCATATAACATAAGAAAAGTGCAAACTTAGTAACTTGCTATTATTACCTTAGAAAAAACAGGGTGGGTAACACGTGTGTATATGTTTCTGCCAGAGACCGATGAGCACATGCGTGCCTTTGCAGAGGAAGTCTTTGCATCTGAGACCAAAGGTGAGGGCGTCCGCGATGAGATTTCCATGTTTGAAGAACAAGATGACTGTCCCATCCTTAAACAGGAAATGGCCTACCACCTGCACACTGAACAAGATGCTGAGAAACGGTGGGTATTAGCAGAGAGGAAGATGTGAAGCGAGAGGGTTTACTCTGGAAAAAATCTGTCCAGGAAAATAAGACCACGAAGTGAGGAATTTTTCTATGGAGGTAAACGAAAAATGTAATTACTAATTTGCTACCTAAGGCTTATTTGATCGAATAGAAGTGTCATAATGGTTAGGTTGTTACAAATGAACTGATATAAGTGGACGCATGTGGCATTTTGTCAACATAAAAAAAAATATATATATATATTTAAAAAGAGTTGTGCCTGTTGGTCACATGCGTATCTGCTCTCTCATTGGCTAGAATGGTACCACCTGATCTCGCCTGCCTTCAATCATTGAGGTCATGTATTTCCACTGTTAGAGTGGTCACTCGACCACTTTGGCAATATAATAGGGGAGAGGCGATAAGGACACGCCCAGTCCCCAAAATGTATTAAGTATAGAGAACAATAGTAATGGCGTCTTTTTGTAGGCACTAACTCCAACCATGGTTGTTTTTGTAGGGTTTTTGGATAAATGCCGAAAATAAGGTATGCGGTAAACACAGGCTTAGGAGATCTTATACGTTTTGTTCTATGAGAATCTTCATCAGATAACGTCACTTTTTGTGAATTTTGAAGCATGTATGTAATTTAAAAAAAACCCACATAAAGCACAAAGGCTTCATAATTCTTAAAGGTCATGTTAACTGACTGATATTATATCATAGAACAAAACGTATAAGATCTCCTAAGCCTGTGTTAACCTCGGCGTTTATCTCAAAAACCTATTCTTTCCACATTCATTTTCCCCATAGGAATGGCTGAAAGAAACCAGAGGTAACTCATTTCCGTTTTTTAGGACTACAAGCGCTATGTCGCTTGAATGGTGACGAACAAATTCAGTTCAGTCAGTCCTCCTAATGACTCCCCCTCGCTGCTTGTGGGTAGAAACTTCACCCTGAATTTGAAACTTGTCTGCCGAAGTTGGGACAGTGTTTAGAATCATTCCGTTTTCAGAGTAATTGTTCGATTTTTTTAAATACAAAAATGTATTCGTTAATACCGTAGTTGTACATTTTCGGTGAAAATCACTACATATGAATGCGCTTTAGCTGTTAACCTGGCCTGATATTGGTTACACTAGCTAGCTACTTCCCACTCCTTACTACCGGACAGCAGTGCTCGGCAAGCGGGAGCGAAGGACACTGTGCCCCGCGTGTTGTGTTGCCAGCTTGCAGCGCAAACGCTCCCCATTGAGCAAGTAGACAATCACGGTGACATCCAGATGGTTACTACCAATATTACAAGTTATTTCTCGTGTAGGCTGTTATCCTACTCTAAATATAATCAAGTGGGATGGAACAAATTGGCAACGTTAGCTACCGCCAGCGACGTGATACAGCTGCCCAGTGGGAAGCACCTCGATAAAAGACCCTTGCACTGGTCATTCGCACCAACTTGTCGTTACGTTAGCTAATTGGCATGTCATGGTGACCAATACTACAAGTTATTATAAATATATATACGTTTTAACTAGCGCCATGCTGCTGTTGCCAGGCCAGCATAAACTAACGTGCTGGGATGGGCTCATCAGGAAGACTGACTGAACCGAATACATTCGTCTCAACTCTCAGCTGGGTGACATATGTCACCAATTTGAGTGTACCAGGCATGTCCGTATAGCCTCGCCCTTTGCCTTACAACTAAATCCACTGTTTGTCTGTCGCGCCTCCCCTGTCGCTCCGCAGTAAGAAGAGACTGCAAAAGTGTCGCACCATGACTTTGCCTTCCTCCATGAGTGACCAGGCCAGGAAGGTGCTGGCACCTGTGGCGGAGGTGTTGTTGGACACCCCAACCTACCTAGAAGTGCCTGACTTCCAGAGAGTGTCCATCATTGGAGACTACGCCTCTGGGGTATTATATCTTAGCTACGTAGCCTATGTTTCTCTCTTATCCAGGTTAGTCTTATTGAGATCAAATCTCCTTTGCAAGAGAGACCTGGTCCAACAGGATGGGCACCACTCATAAACTCATATATAACACATTATCTATGCTGTCGCCTCCCTCTCCCCCTCAAATAGCAGCAAAAGTCTCATGGCTCTGGGTATGAACTTGACCACTATGGCTAGTATGTGTCTCTGGGTCTGGGTCATTGACCTCCTGTAGGGAAGCCTCCTCAAAGGAATAGATCCCTCTAGACTGGAGACTAGGAGCCCACAGCGGCTGTCCAGGTTTAAGTTTAGAAAATGTGGCTCTGACATTTACAGAGAAATCGATTAGTTACCGGAGTGTAACTCCAGTTCTATGAGTGGAGCGGAGCCCCATAGGGGAGCTCTGCTCCTAGTGGTTTACCCTCTGCCCTAAGGCAGCAACAGCCTGAGACAAAATTATGCACACACCTGCAGCCAATAGGAGCACAGGTGTCCCTATAAGAGGGGATGCCTCCCCTCAATCAGCCTCCCGAGATATTTATCTTCAGCGAGACTAGAGAGGGTCGGCAGGGCCTTAAGTCCTATGGGGCTCCGCTCCACTCATAGAACTGGAGTTACACTCCGGTAACTAATCGTTCTATATCGTGGAGCTCCGCCCCATAGGGGAGCTCTGCTCCTAGTGGTTTAAGGCGGAGCGTAGCGCTCCAAAATGTACTCCCTGCCGAGCCTAACACTTCCCATCGAAACGAAAAGGTCAGGCCTAGCAATGGCTGCAACCAAGTCCCGCAGTACTGCAACTAAAAACCCCTACGGGCATCACAATATACCGCGTCATCGGTTAAAGACCCGCCCCACCTAGTCCAATGGCAATGCCAATGACTAGTGGGCAGATCACCAGAATAGAAGCCATACTAATCTGTACTAGCAGATAGATGTGCCTCAATATCCTGTGAAAACACTACCGACCACTAATGGAATGACACCAAGTGTCACTCTACATTGTGAACGCGGTAGACCGCCTCACTCACTCAATGGAATCCCAGAGATTAGTGGGCAGGAACAAAACATGGGTCATACTAAACTGAACAAGCAGATAGATGACCTCACATTCTGTCAATCAACACATGCCTCTACTGTACTGAACCTGTCAGTCAGGAGTCATGCCACAAAATATGTTTTCTTATCCAAAGCGGACCTGATGGAAACCTTGTCCATAGTCCTGCTTTTTCCTCTCTTCCTAGCTCAAGATCTCCCTTCAGCTATGCTGAGTACAGACCGAGCCAAAGAGTTAGAAAACATATCTGTCAAAAACACGTCTTCCTAACCAAAGCGGACCTGATGGAAACCTGTGTCCACAGTCCTGCTTCTCCTCTCTTTCTTGCTCAAGATCTCCCTTCAGCCACGCTGAGTACAGATCGAGCCAGAGAGTTAGAAGACATATCTAAGAGATAGAAACGGATAAATGGAGACGGCGTCGACCAGGATGCTGCTCTACAGATATCCTCCACCCCTGTTCCTCTGAAAAGGGCAGTAGAAGCCGCTACTCCACGAGTGGAGTGAGCTCTGATACCCTGAGGCAATTGCCGCCCCGCTGCCTCATAAGCTGTCTCAATGCCTTCACAAAGCCAGTGAGACAACCGCTGTTTTGAAAGTGGTCTACCTAGTGCAGCCGCACCGTGACACACAAACAACTGAGGCGATGACCTAATCGCTGCTGTGCGCTCGACGTAACACGCCAAAGCGCGTACCGGGCACAGGCGATGGAGCTTTTCCTCACTCCTCTCTCTATGAGGAGGAGGAGAAAAAGCCCACAGCTCCACGGTCTGTGACCTATATGAACTCTTAATAACCTTCGGCACAAATGCCGGGTTAGGACGTAACACTGCTCTGCTCAGGTCACCATTGATGGCCAGGCAGTCAGGTCTCGTCGAAAGAGCACACAAATCACTGACCCGCTTAGCTGTAGTCAAAGCGAGCAACAGTGCTGTCTTCATAGACAGCATCTTGAGGGGTATTTGATTCAATGGCTCGAACGGCGACTTACATAGCGCTTCGAGTACCAAATCCAAATCCCACTGAGGAAGCGTGACTCTAGGTGTTGGCCTAAGTCGCCGCGTTCCTAATAGGAAGCGTTTCACTAGAGGGTGGCTAAAGACATTGTCTCTGCCAAACCCCTCTTGACAAGCTGAAATCGCTGCTGCAAACACCCTAATAGTGGCAGGCGATTTTTGCTTATCAAACATGAGCTGTAGAAAAGAGAGAATACTCTCCACCTGACAGCTCATGGGGTCTACACCTTGTGTGACACACCATCGTGAAAACACGTTCCATCTACTGGCATACATCTTAGAAGTGGAACTGGCACGTGAACCCTGTATGGTCCTGATCACTGCATCAGATAACCCATGGCGCTCTAGCCTGTCCCTCTCAGCAGCCAGGCCTTCAGTGGTTGGCCGATTATGGGCAATTTCCCTATCGTGCCTCCCGCCTGAGACAACGCGTCCCGTCGATGTGGAATTGGCCAAGGTGGCGCAATCAACATCTGACTCATCTCCGCAAACCAAGGAGCCCCCGGGCGATCGGGCGCTATCAGTATCACTGACAGCCCCCCTGACCTCACCCTGGCTAGCAGTGGGAGAATGCAGGACAGCGGAGGGAATGCATACAGGAGAACTCTCGGCCACGGTTGGTGCGCAAAGGCGTCCCTTCCCAGTGGCGGTTCGTCCTGTTCCCTCAGAGAGAACCACAGAGGACATTGCGCGTCCGGATGCAGACACCACTCGTCGTCTCGAGGACCCCCTCTTGACATGAGGTCTGCTCCTACGTTCAAGTAGCCCGGAATGTGTGCTGCTCTCAATGAGCGAAGGTGCTCGTGAGCCCACAGCCACAATTCCTCTGCCGCCCGATGGAGAGCAGGAGACCTGACTCCTCCCTGGCGATTTATGTGAGCTACTGTGGTCCGGTTGTCTGACCAGACCAGCACATCGCGACCCCGAAGGGTAAACGCGAAGTGGGTCAGAACCAGTCAAACCGTTTCCAACTCCAAGAGGTTGATATGACGACCTGATTGAGGCCACACACCTCCTATCGCTTGGGTCTGACATGTCCCTCCCCATCCCGTCAGGGACGCATCCGTGAATACTGGGATGTGAGAGGACACCTTTCCTATCGGGACTCCGTGCGTGAGAACGCGCGGGTTTCTCCAATAGTTCAGATCTGCACTGAGCGAGAGGGGAACCACCACCAACCGATGACGTTGACGCAATGGGTCTAGTCTTAGTTGGGCGAACCATCGCTGCATCCTGCGCATATGCAGGAGTCCCAGCGGAACCACAGAGTGGGCTGACGACATGAGACCCAAAAGTGACATGATCGACAGCGCCGTCACCGTGTGATTCGGACGACACTTCCTCAGGGCTAGCAACAAGGCTACCCTTCGGGGGTCCGAAATTCGAGCCCTCATCCTCACAGTGTCTAGCTGTATCCCCAGGTAGACAATCTGATGAGTGGGCCAGGGCGCGCTCTTTTTCCAATTCACAGCAAACCCCAGACTTGTGAGATGCATCACTGTCTGTGTTGTGTGAGTGATCGCCAGCTCTGCTGACGGGGCGAGAACCAGTAGATCGTCCAGGTAGGCTAGTAGCCGTATTCCCTGACGACGCAACGGTTCCAATGCCGCCTCCACACACTTGGAAAATGTGCGAGGTGCCAGGGCGTACCCAAATGGCATCCTCGTGTATTCGTACGCCACCCCTTGAAAGGCGAACCGCAGAAACTTCCTTGTGACGCGGCTGAACCGGCACATGAAAGTACGCGTCCTTTAGGTCTATGCTCGTACAAAGTCCCCTCTCTGGACACATTCCAGCAGACGTTTTGTCGTTAGCATTCGGAAGGGCCGTTTGGTTATGCTCTCGTTGAGAATGCGTAAGTCCAAAATCGGCCTCACTCCCCCCGTCTTTTTGGGCACTAGGAAATAAGGCGAATATAGCCCTTTGTTCCTTTGCTCCCGGGGAACTACTGTCACCGCCTCCTTCGCCAAAAGTTCCGTAATCTCTGTCATCAGAGCGGCCACTTTGTCTGGCGTTTTCATCACCGTCTCCACCACTCCCCTGAACGGGGGTGGGGTCCGGTGGAATTGGAGAGCATAACCCTTCTGCAACGTCTGTTCTAGCCAGCGTGAGAGGGTGCAGCTTCTTCGCCACTGCCAGCAATGCAGAGAAAGCGGCTGAGCACGAAGCTGTGGTGCATCCAGTAGGAAGGACCTGTATTCCTCTATGGCCCTTACCGCCACTGTTCCCCAACATTGAAGTGGTGGAACAGCCCAAGGTGGGCCTCCCGTGAAAGGGAGAGGAACCATCAATGCGTTCTGAGAGAGAAAGAGGAGCAGGGACGTCGGTTAAACTCATAACCGTCGTATTCCTGCCCTCCTTGAACGCATCGCGGGTCTGAATTGCGCTGACCGAGGTCACAGCCTGCGGCAGGGCACCATCCCCAGCAAGCGATTGCGTCATCTTAGGTGACTGCAATTCGCTATCAGAGCCCTTCACTACAGTACTCCTAGAAGTCTGTAGTATGAGGTCTCTATGAGGTAAAACAAGGCGGCGCCTTGATACCTTCTTAACTTTCACCTTCTGTGTGTGTTCAACTCTGCACCCCTGGTGGGTTGATTCACACTCAGTGTGGTGAGTACTAGCTCGTTCTGTCAGGGGAGCCGACACGTTGGTTATACCCATAACCCTAGTAATCCGGCCCTCCGTGAACGTAGCATAGGTCTGAATCGCATTAACCGAGACCTTGGTCTGTGATAATGCGCCGTCCCCAGATAGCTGCTGTGTTACAATGCCTGGGGGCGCCGATACTCTGGACACCTTCGTGACCGCGGTAATCGGGCCCTCCGTGAACGCAGCATGGGTCTGGCTCGTACTAGCAGAGACATTGGTCTGTGCTAGTGCGCCATCCCCAAATAGCGGCTGCGTCCTCATGTCAGAATCTGACAGAGACTGCTGCCTGCTATGTAAAGCACTTCTTATACGTGAAGTGTGATGTGACGACCTGATTGAGGTCTTATGGATACCTACTCTAAGTGCCTGTTCAGCAACGCACCTTCGGTGGGCTGAACGGCTCTTAGAGTGGTAAGGAAGAGAGGGTGAGATTTGAACGCTCTCGGACGTATTATGGAAAATAGGCTCTTTTTTGACAAAGTCAGGTGGAGCCAACTCTTTATTAAACACATCAACAAAGGCATTTACATCAACACCCATCCCTTCAACCGAAGGGTGGGGGGGAACAGTGGGCACGTTCGACACCATCGACGCGTCCTCCATCCACTCCCCCGCGTCCCGTCACGTACGCCTCCTTTTGCCTCCCTTGGAGGGCCAGGTCGGCGTCCTCGTCACCTCCCTCGCCGGCTGAAGTGGGGCTACTGTAGCTGCTGGAAGGGCGGGGCCCGTTCCCTTGCTGCTCGCTGCCGCCGGATGACGCCGATTACGCCGCCTCGCTGTAGACCCCGGTCTACTTTGAGGGGCGGAGGTAGATGGCCTCTGGGACGGAGCGGGGCCGAGTCGTCCTGCCAACGGCAGGTGCTTGGCCAGCTGTTTCTTCTCCTCCTCCAGTTTGGAAAAACGCTCCGTCGCCTCCTTGACTGCGACCCCAAAGAGGCCGTCGTCAGAGAGGGGGGCGTTCAAGAGAGACGTCCTGTCTGCCTCTTTCATGGAAGTCAATGACAACCAGAGGTGTCGCTCCCCGACCACCGAAGTGGCCATGGACCTCCCCGCGCAGACTGCGGACGCCTGTGTTAGGTGGAGTATGGCGCCAGAAATTCTGGACGCCTCCTCCACCTCCTCCGGTGCCAGCTCTGTCTTGCCCGTGGTTAAACGGGACAGAGCGGCCGCCAAGAGGGCAATGTTATTAGCTGCTGCTACAGCTTGGGCTCCCAACCCAAAGGACTTCTCTAACAGCGACGCTGTGAGTCGGTCCTTCTGGGATGGCAATGTGGCCTTCTTGGAAGAGGGCCAAGGGCTCGAACCCTGTACAAGATACGCCGCCATGGCGCTCTCTAACCTGGGGATTCCCTTGCCCTGGAACCTTCCTTCCACTCTCGTGAATGGGAGGTACGCTTTCACTGGCGAACGCGCCGCTAAAGGTGCCTCCCACGAGCCCTCAACGTACCTGGCCAAAGAAGGCATGGCAGGAGCCACTGGCTCTGCCGCCTTCCTCGGCCTGGAATAAGGACCGCCCTCCATCATATCAACCTCCGGTGCGGAGGGAAGAGGGGGCAGCCTTATCTCCAGACGTTGCGCAGCTCTCTCAATAAGACCCGGAAAATCCGCTCTCAGAGAGGCTGCAGCGAAGGACAGGGCTTCTGATCTCTCAGAGCTCGTGTCCCCTTCGCTATAGGGACTACAAGCCCTCTCGCTTTCCAAGGGAAAGGGGGGCTTGAAAATATGAGGGATGGGGTCTGACTGTTCCATCGGAACGCCGGACTCCTCCTCAAAATCCCTATCCTCCCCCGAGTCTGCGCCGTCGGACGACGCCTCTGAAGCAGAGGCTAGTATCGACAGCACGTCCTCAAGGGGGATGTCCTCCCTAAAAAACGCCCAACGCTGCTTCCTCTCCTTTAAAGAAAGGAGGGCGCAGGAGGCGCAATTCGGGGGACTGCAGACGCCTTCCTTGGCATGCTGGGATCCCAAACACACGAAACACAGGTCGTGGTGGTCACCGGCCGCCATAGAAGTGCATCTGCACTGAGCTCTGAAAATAGCTTTTGGGGGTGGGAAATCTCCCGGTGTGCTCATTTAGACGACGTTGATGACTGGAATATCAACGGCGTTTTCGTCCTGAGTCTTCGTGCTTCGTCTCTTCTTGGCTCTTCAGTCTAGTCATCCAGTCGCTGAAGATAAAGGGAGGCTGATTGAGGGGAGGCATCCCCTCTTATAGGGACACCTGTGCTCCTATTGGCTGCAGGTGTGTGCATAATTTTGTCTCAGGCTGTTGCTGCCTTAGGGCAGAGGGTAAACCACTAGGAGCAGAGCTCCCCTATGGGGCGGAGATCCACGATATAGAACATAAGGAGGAGGTGGGGCCTGCTTATGAAACTGTTTGTAGTTCACTTTCCAACTTAAGCACTACTACATAACCCACTTATGAATATTACCTAATTATTTGGTCCCATTGTAAACCGACAACTTGCTGACAATTATCCATTTGTGTTAGATCAGTGATTACTTCAAGGAATGGAGGGATGCATTTTTTTTTTTAAAGTATTGGAACAGGGCACTTATTCCATCATTCCCCTCGCTACTCTTAGGTGACCATGGATGACTTTGAGCTTTCCTGTAAGGGCGTGTACCGTGCGCTGACCATCAGAGAGAAGTACATGAGGCTGGCCTACCAGCGCTTCCCCCTCACCACATCCCAGTACCTGAGGGAAATTGAGGGAGAGCCCTTTAAGCCTGAACACTCAGTGCAACCAGGTAAGTGAATAGGCTGGCAAGTGTGAATGTAAATGTCTGGGGTATGCATGCAGTAGTTTCTCGTGACAGATTACTGCCAAGAAAGTGTCTAACAGCTACCATTTTGTTTGCCAGTCTTCACATCCCCACCCAAGGAGGGCGAGGACCCCTTCAACACCAAGTGCCTGCCTGAAAACCTGAGCTGGGTAGCGCGTATGAAGAACGGTATCATCTACGTGTACAAAGACGCGGCAGCGGCCGACCAACACAAACCCATCGAGAACATGCCCGCCCCCCACTACGAAACCTTCATCGACGACATGAACTTCCTCATTGCTCTGATTGCACAGGGCCCAACGTGAGTCTTACTGAACGATGGGAGGTCAACTCCAACCTAACTTCGTTCCAAGACACTTCCGCCCAAATGCGCAAAGAGTCTGGTTGACCAAAGCGGCAAACTTGGCCTCGGTTAGCCAATACAGAAATATCTGGAGAAACTCCTTACACATAGGCATTGGCATAATCTACCAACCAATCATCTCCCACAACCCATTCTTCCCCGGTATGTGTCTTGTGCGCAACACAAATTCCTGCCCGGGTCCTGCCTCCATTTGGAGCCACGCCTCGCAGTCGTGTGATTCACTAAAATGTAATTACAAATACTTTAATCAGTAAGGTCACTCCCATAAAATTATATTGTCACTCCCACTAAGGCCAACCTTGAAACGTTGATGTTTTTACATTTTTAGTCATTTAGCAGACGCTATTATCCAGAGCAATTTATAGTAGTGAGTGCATACATTTTCATATTTGTTCATACTGGACCCCCGTGGGAGTCGAACCCACACCCTGGCGTTGCAAGTGCCATGCTCTACCAACTGAGCTCACGGGACTATGGCCTAGGCTTATATGCATTTAGCCCAAGAATGTACTCAAGGAGTGTAGTCGAGCCTACCGTTACTCCTTAAGGTCCTAACCCTATAAAGGTGTGTAGTAAATAGTTTTGAAAATTATTTCTCGCTGATATATCAAAGATACGTCCCTTAGGTTTCCAAAACCGTACCACAAGCTATCCATGTTCATGTTCAGACCGAGCATCGTGTCTCTTTTAACAAAAGTCTCCCTGGAAGAAGATACCTTCATTAATAGGCACTAAAGCTAGTTAGCTACTATGATTGGGGTAATATGTGCTGTGCGCAATATCCTGGGGACGAGGTTAACTCCAGCCCAGCAGATCCACAGCAGTGTGTATGTGCTGGCTTTTGATCCAACCCTGCTCAAACACTTGCATCACTAATTGGTCTTTTGACCAATCAGATCAGCTTTTGCCAATAATTGGGCAAAAGATCATAATTGGACTGCCTGTGTAAATGCAGCTTTAGGGCTGGTCTGGAACAAATAATCCAACATATGGACAACATATCACACCACAAAATGCCTAACAACTTTATAAATTCCACATTACATTTTTGCCTGTCTTTCCTGGGTGGCAGTAAGACATACACTCACCGTCGTCTGAAGTTCCTCATGTCCAAGTTCAACGTGCATGAGATGCTGAACGAGATGGAGGAAATGAAGGAGCTGAAGCTGAACCCCCATAGGGACTTCTACAACTGCAGGAAGGTAGATAGCTACCGCCTTACAAAACATATACGCATTAGCCTAGCTTATTAACACTCTTAAGACCTCTTGGTGTAACGGTTAAGGTGTTGGCTTAACACACATGCACAACCAGACATTGATTTATTGATCGGAGACAGCTTGTGTCAATTACAGAACAGTTACTAGGATTTTCTGCCTGTAGTAACACTAGTGGATAATGCTGAAAATACCGGAGAAAGCAGGTTTTGACTAGATAGTATACAGCTTGTCAGAATTTACTTTTCGTAGCAGGTCAGGATAATTAGGTTAAGGTTAGGAAAAGGGTTAGCTAAAATGCAAAATAAAGAAATACATTTTTGACGTCAATTTGACATAAGGTGTATCCTCCCTAGCCATGAACGTAAAAGCACAGTGTACCATTTCCTCACCTAAAAGCAGGGCCCTAGACATGGTCAATCACAGAGCACATTAAACACTCAAAATAACTGCCTGTAACAGGGCAATCTTCACCCTATTACATTTACATTTTAGTCATTTAGCTGACGCTTTTATCCAGAGCGACTTAGTTAGTGAGTGCATACATTTTTCATACTGGCCCCCCGTGGGAATCGAACCCACAACCCTGGCGTTGCAAGCGCCATGCTCTACCAACTGAGGTACAGGAGGCTACACCAGTTTCATTTCATAAAAAAAAAAAAAATTACATAATAAAGACCTTTCAACAGATATCTTATATTTGTGAGTGCAAATGATGTCTATGGGCATTAGAGTAGGCTACTTTAACTTCTTACAACCAGGGTGCAACTTCTGCTTCTGCTCCCAAATAACAAATGTTGTGAGCTCTGCTCCCCCTGTTGTTCAAGCAGTGTCAGTACACCACAAAGAGAACTCATAATAACTAGTAACTCATAACTATTTTTTCTCATAACTCCTGTTTGTGCTGTTGTAGGTAGACACCCACATCCATGCAGCTGCCTGCATGAACCAGAAGCACCTCCTGCGCTTCATCAAGAAGTCGTATAGGGTGGACGCTGACCGTGTAGTGCAAAACATCAAGGGAAAAGATGTGACCATGAAGGAGCTGTTTGCCAACCTCAACCTGCACCCCTATGACCTCACTGTCGATTCCCTGGATGTGCATGCTGTGAGTCCTACCGCTAGCTAGTGTAGCGATCAAAGGGGGAAAGCAGTCTTGTGGCCAAAGGGCAAGTGTGCTACTACCTCCCGTGTCATAAAGGTCCAGACCTCTTGGCAGAAGCCGTAGAATGCTTACATAGTAAAATACATATGGAACTTTGATATTTTGATTATTTTTCCATTGGCAATGTGAACATTCCCTGGTCTTACATGCTTCTCTCGCCCTCTTCTCTTAAGGGCAGACAAACCTTTCAGCGTTTTGACAAGTTCAATGCTAAGTACAACCCTGTGGGAGCCAGTGAGCTGCGTGACCTGTACATGAAGACAGAGAACCACATCGACGGAGAGTACTTCGCCAGGATCATTAAGGTTAGACTCTGCTATGGCTGTGTTAGTATCCCTTTTGTAAACACTGCTTAATTACAACCAGCTAATTCTCAATTTTTTCGCACCCAGGAAGTGGCCTCTGACCTGGAGGATGCCAAGTACCAATATGCCGAGCCCCGTCTTTCCATCTATGGCTGCAACCCTAACGAGTGGACCAAGCTCTCCGGCTGGTTCAACAAGCATAGAGTCTTCTCCCCTCAACTCAAGTGGATGATTCAAGTGCCCAGGATCTAGTAAGTTCTATCCCTCTGTTCAGTGAATGTCCCTCTGTTCTTTCTGCACCCTTTTTTCGATCAGATTATTCAGGAAGAGTTAGAAATACTAGAGGCATGGACATACAGAGTTTGGCAATCTCGGTATACAAGTCTACTATTTTATGAATGTCATGTTGGCACTCAAAGTAAAATAAACAACAGAACAGAATATATTTGTAAATGGCTCTCTAAATAATGATATTTGTGCATTTAGAAAAATGTCTGAAGAACTTCTAACCGCTCATTCTCTGTACTACCACCTCAGTGACATCTTCAGAGGCAGGAACTTTGTGCCCCACTTTGGAAAGATGCTGGAGAACATCTTCCTGCCTATTTTCCAGGCCACCATCGAACCCCATGCCAACCCTGAGCTCAGCATCTTCCTCAAGCATGTGAGTGAGACTGGCATGAGGGACCAGGGATAAAGGAGGTTTACATTATAAATTGATACTTTCAAGGGGTATTTCACTCAAATGTCCTAATTCATGATTGTTCTCCAGCCTTGATGGACTTTTTTTCAGAAGGGAGGAATTTTAGTTAAAAATTTGTTTTGGACATTTTCAATCACTTTATAAAATGAAAGATTGGTTTGAAATATGTTGAAAATGCATTGAATATCAAGGCAATCTCTTCATTCTCCTTCTTTCGCCGCTCTGTAGGTGACAGGATTCGACAGTGTGGATGACGAGTCCAAGCACAGTGGTCACATGTTCTGCACCAAGAGCCCCAAGCCAGAGGAGTGGGACATTGTCAAGAACCCCTCCTACACTTACTACATCTACTACATGTATGCCAACATCACTATGGTCAACCAGCTCCGGAAGTGAGTATCACATGTCAATCACAATCTACACGTCCTTCAAGAAATTATTTCAGAAAAAGTTCAAATCAAACATGATACACCCATATCATTATCAGTGTCTTAGAGTACATGGCCATCATTCTGTCTCTGAGTCTGTGTTTCTGTTTGCTTCCTAGAGCTAGGGGAATGAACACCTTCCAGTTCAGGCCCCACTGTGGAGAGGCTGGAGCCGTCACCCATCTGCTGGCCTCCTTCATGACCGCTGACAACATCTCTCACGGCCTCAATCTCAAGAAGGTCAGTAGCCTCCAAACAAAATAGCCTCCTCTCTTTCTTTGGCACCATCAGTGCCTCAACACATGACACAACTAACTCCTGTGGTCCTAATGTTGATGTTTGTATCTAACACTCCCACCCAACAGAGCCCCGTGTTGCAGTACCTCTACTTCCTGGCCCAGATTCCCATTGCCATGTCTCCACTCAGCAACAACAGTCTCTTCCTGGAGTATGCCAAGAATCCTCTTCTGGAGTTCCTCAAGAAGGGCCTGATCGTCTCCCTGTCCACTGATGACCCCATGCAGTTCCACTACACCAAGGTGAGGCCAAACTGGGTGCCCCTCCAGTACTGTGTGGGTTGTGTAGGACAATATGTATGTTTTGGGGCTCTCTTGGTTCATGTTGGTGCATTACGTGCCAATCAACTGACCCAGGGTGCTGTTCATTGGTTTAACCTTCAAATTCAAAATGGCAAGGGTTGATTTTGAGCTGATCCTAAATCAGTTATAGAGCGTAAGCGAGACACCCAGCTCTGACTGTGTGTCCTCAGGAGCCCCTGATGGAGGAGTACGCCATTGCAGCCCAGGTGTTCAAGCTCAGCACCTGTGACATGTGTGAGATCTCCAGGAACAGTGTGCTGCAGAGTGGCCTGTCTGATGAGGTAACAAACCCAACAGACGATAAACAGGATAGACAATATACTGCCTCAGAGACCCACAATTTAGCCACACTGTGGCCTGAACTGTCAATATATATATATATACATATTTTACAAAGACATGCCATGATTCATGGCTAAACTCAGGCTTTTCAAGCATTTTGTTACAATACACAGCACTATAGTAGACTGCCATGGCTAAGTATCATCAGCACCAAAATGTGTTGCCTTGGGTTTTTATCTACAGGAGAAGACTCACTTTCTGGGTGCCGACTATCTGAAGGAGGGCCCTGAGGGCAATGACATCCGCAAGACCAATGTGGCCCAGATCCGTATGGCCTATCGCTACGAGACACTGTGCTATGAGCTCAACCTCATCAAGGAGGGTCTGAAGACTGACTGAACAATCTTAGATTTTATATGTTTTATGTTAACAGCTCCTGCTAAATGTATCGATTCTTTAAGACAAAGCCGCCTTGTGTATTAGTGTTCGCTCCATGGCAAACCACATGGTCTATTTATTAGAATGGGTAATGTGTTTTTAGTGTCATCTGGTGGCTGTGTACAACTCAGTTAAATTTAACACAGCATATACAGCTTTGGAAAAAATTAAGAGACCACTGCAAAAATAAGTTTCTGGTTTTACTATTTATAGGTATGTGTTTGGGTGAAATTAACATTTTTTGTTTTATTCTATAAACTGACAACCTTTCTCCCAAATACAAATATTGTCATTTAGAGCATTTATTTGCAGAAAAAGACAACTGGTCAAAATAACAAAAAAGACGCAGTGTTGTCAGACCTCGAATAATGCAAAGAAAATAAGTTCATGTTCATTTTTAAACAACACTAATGTTTTAACTTAGGAAGAGTTCAGAAATCAATATTTGGTGGAATAACCCTGATTTTCAATCACAGCTTTCATGCGTCTTGGCATGCTCTCCACCAGTCTTTCACATTGATGTTGGGTGACTATGCCACTCCTGGCGCAGAAATTCAAGCAGCTCTGCTTTATTTGATGGCTTGTGACCATCCATCTTCCTCTTGATCACATTCCAGAAGTTTTCAATGGGGTTCAGGTCTGGAGATTGGGCTGGCCATGACAGGGTCTTGATCTGGTGGTCCTCCATCCACACCTTGATTGACCTGGCTGTGTGGCATGGCACATTGTCCTGCTGGAAAAACCAATCCTCAGAGGTGGGGAACAATGTCAGAGCAAAAGGAAGCAAGTTATTCCAGGACAACCTTGTACGTGGCTTGATTCATGCGTCCTTCACAAAGACAAATCAGCCCGATTCCAGCCTTGCTGAAGCACCCCCAGATCATCACCGATCCTCCACCAAATTTCACAGTGGGTGTGAGACACTGTGGCTTGTAGGCTTCTCCAGGTCTCCGTCTAACCATTAGACAACCAGGTGTTGAGCAAAGCTGAAAATTGGACTCATCAGAGAAGATGACCTTACTCCAGTCCTCTACGGTCCAATCCTTATGGTCTTTTGCAAACCTCAGCCTGGCTCTTCTTTGCTTCTCATTGATGAAGGGCTTTTTTCTAGCTTTGCACAACTTCAGCCCTGCCCCTAGGAGCCTGTTTCGAACCGTCCTCGCCATGCACTTCACCCCAGCTGCCGTTTCCCATTCTTTTTGTAGGTCACTTGATGTCATCCTACGGTTGTTGAGTGACATTCAAATGAGTTGGCGGTCATTCCGGTCAGTAGAGAGTCGTTTTTGCCCTCTGCCGGTCTGTAGCTTTGTTGTCCCCAATGTCTGCTGCTTGACCTTGTTCTTATGAACCGCCGTCTTTTGACATTTTAAGGATGGAAGCAACCTGACGCTCACTGTATCCCTCTGCCAGTAAAGCCAGAATTGAACCCTTCTTTTCCTCACTCAAAACTTTCGTTTTCAACTCTTTTGGCATGGTCAATAGTTATTTTTTGATTATCCAGCTGGTCCTATTGCAAGAGGATAGTGACTACCACAGCAGTGGTTTTTATGCTTTTCCTCGTTAAATAACATTTGGTTCAGGTGATCACCTAATCAGTACCTAATTCAGTAGAATGAATTCAACAGACACTGGAATGGAATGGCTATCATACATGTAGAGATGCTGATTTAAGAAAAATTTGCAGTGGTCTCTTAATTTTTTCCAGAGCTGTATAGTGATCATCCTGTATGATGTATTCCAGTTTTTCATTTAATTGGTTTCACTTGTTTATGAAATGTGACCACACATTTCATGCTTAATGTGCCATATTGTGGGGGACACAATTACAAGAATGATTTGAAACAAATAAATTAAATGTCAAATGGTTTAATTTGATTTCTGTATGAATCTCTTTTGTCAAACCAAACCACGACTGAATTGATTTGCTGAAATTGATGCCCTTGCACTGTCAATTGCTTATTTCAGAGTGGATACAAATGACATTTCCTGTGATTGTGTCAATCTGCCTCCCTCTCCATCCAGTCGTCGATGACAGCAGGAGTTGATGACGTCCAGCTCCCAGGATCAATATGGAGCCCCCTAAAAACTCTCACTTGCTTCGAGTTGTGCCACTAGCTAATATTTCGGTGACTGCTTATTCCTTGCTGTCCAAGATTGGTTGCCCGTAGTTGGAAGAAAACATAAGTTTTTGGTCTAAAATAAGACATTTCGGTGAAAATAAGACATGCTAGCTTTAGCGGCTAATCAGCTAACGGGGACTAGTGTGTGGCTAACTAACTTGCTAGCCAGCTCGCGAACTAGCGACTGCAATGGAACGCCCGATTTGGAAGTCGTCGTGTTTTGCTGCTGCGAGAAACACTTGTAATGATTCAACTGGGACGGAGAATATAGCTAATATTGATGTCTAAAACCAACCACTAAACACAGGGAACAGGTCTAATTTGCTGCTTACAGTACTTTATTTGCTGTTTAAGAATGTGGGATTGCTGCAAGCGGACCTCGAGAGCAACACACTGGTAACGTTAATACATTTCCCTACGATTCTGTGGATTAAAAGTAAAGCAAAATATTTGCTGTCGGAGATTAGGCGTCTTGCTTGGTGACCACGTTATCTGCTCTCACATTTCATTTACTGATTAGCTGCTACAAGTTATCAGTAACGTGTTGCATTGATTGCACCTTTGTCACAATCAATGAATTAAAAATGAGTGCTGGTATTAAATTCTAAAAGTTCTCTTAATTTCAGCTAATTCACCAACAAACCATGTCATGCACGGTGTGATTTATACATTTTTGTTGAGTTCATCTACCAATTAAATATCCTGGTTAGGCTAATCTTAATTGGATGTAAACAGCACAACTCATCTCTTCATGAATTTACAAATCATTATGGCATGCGTGAGATCAGAGGGGCATACTACAAAGCAAGATCAGTGAGTTAGCTATCCCAAAGGCCGACAGATGGCGATATTGAGTTGTTTCATTTTACCGTCGAAACACATTGTATTAGGGGTGTAACGATTCGTTTTAACAACGATTCGATTTGTATCACGATTCGTGGTTGTCGATACGAGTCAAGGACGATATTGGTTCATTTAGAACGATACGATCCGAAACGATTCAGTGACTTGAAATCGATTCAGTAACCTTTTAGCCAAAAATTCAACCAGTGTGACTGAAATAAATACCTGGATACTGGACAGTGCAGGTGAAGTTTCCTAGATTCCTGTTTCTTGTAAGGACCGCAATGGTGGCTTGATAATTTCTCGCTCGTCGGCTTCTCCTCTGTCGTCCGCCATGCTATGTTTTGTTGTCTTTGCGCCTTTGCGCTGCTGTTGGCGCGATGACGTCACGGATAGGCAGACTGAATCGAGTAATGTTTAAAGCCTTTATCATTAAAAGTGCTAAGAAAAAACATCCATATAAAGTCTGACGTGCTTAAATCCAATGGGTTATTTCCTATTATCGATACAATCGATTTATTACATTTTAAAACGATGTTAGATCGATATATGTTGTCCAAAAGGCCAACTCGCCGAGCACAGATCGATGTAGTTGGATCATAGGAATATAAATCGATACATCGATGTAGTAGATGGATCGTTACACCCCTACATTGTATGCAGCCGGCAATACATTCTTATCCCTAGTGGACCGGTTCATACCTAAAACATTCTCCATTCAGGTTGCATAGGCTTCAATTTCCTCCATATCTTTATTTAATGGGGATAAGTAAAAAATTAAAATAAATACTCCATAAAAAAGGGGCAAATATGCAGACTTTTCTTATGAAATACCATTTTCCAACACCATGCAAAAGTGGTTAAATGTTAATCTCGGATGGTGTGTATTGCATTCAGCCAATCGGGTTGAAACTATCAGACCAGGGGTTCTGTTTCTTTTACACCTGCTGGTTGTAGCTACATATGTTTGAGCAAAGATTATGGATATACTGACAAGATACATGTCTCTACGCCACAACAATGGGAGTCGTTGTCCACAAAGCAGCACGGCGTGCTGTCTAGCTCCCGCCTATCCTTTCTTTGGATTGGTGGATACATCTCATTACTGTAATCCTTTTTTGAATATTCGATGAATGTGTTTGAAGTCAAACGCCTGTATTCAGTGGATAGAGATGCTATGCTACTAGCCTCATGCCATGAACATGTTACTACCCTCAAAATGGAGATCTGAGAGCAGTAGGAAAGTAATCTGAAATGCGGTGGGAAAAAAGGAAGCGCATGAGAATGTTTCAACTTCATCAAGTGACTCCGTTTTAATAATGAAGCCAGCTCAGAACTCCCTTGATTCCTAACCTAACACCAAAGTTAGAGTACCCTCTTGTATCCTGACTATAATTGCATCTACTACTGCATAATAAATGTATAGACTTAGTCCAGCAAAATTTTAAAAAAGTATCCCCTTTACCTTTAGTTCTAAGTCAATGATTTTCAACCCGCTACACTCTCCCCCTCTTTAAATAGTGGCTCCTGCCATTACTCAGTAAGTCTGTAACTGAGCGGGTATGTTTGGTGTTCTGTATAGGTTTTGGTACTGGTATTGATATTGGCAACACTGCTGACATTGGAGTTTGGTATAAGGCATGGATGTTAGGTCTCCACACCTGATAGGTCGGCTGTCCAAGTGTGTCATAGGTTAGCATGCCCCTTGGTTTTTGGATCTGTTGGGATCTTCTGACATCCATCCCTTCCTCTACGCACTGCTGATCTGAATCAGTGAGGTCATTCATACATGAGGAACCATTGTGTTCAGTTTCGGGAGCGTCGTATCTCCTTTCAACATGATCCTCTCCCTTTGGCATTGACCCCATCCTCATTGTTTGGTTCTTCTAGGATCTCTGATTCCTGCTCCATGTTCTCATCCTGACTACTTTCTGTATCCTGAAAACGGGGATGAAATGCATAGGCCTGTTCTGTCAGTGATTTTGTCTGAGGTCTTGGGTGTTCTGTGCTTGCAACTGGGTTAACTCCTGGAGACCAGAAGTCTTCCTCCTCATCAGAGTTGCTGAAGTTTCATCCCCATCTCCTCCATGTTCTGTGTTTGATGTTATTTTTCTAGCAGGCGGTTTCCTCTCTTCCAAGGTCTCATGTTCCACAGGTAAGTCGTTCACTAACATCAGCATGTTGTGATGGAGCACTCTGATGCCCTTAGCACCATTCTCCCTTTTTACCTTGTAGACTGGTCCTTCCCCAATCTTCTCTACCCCCCTGTGTATGGCTGCCTCCCAGTAGGCCCGCAACTTGCCCGGTCCTCCTCTCTCTGACATATTCTTCACCAAGACTCTGTCTCCAGGTTGGAGGGCCACTGCCTTTGCACCATGGTCATAGTGTCTTTTGCTTTTAGCCGAGGACTTTTGACTGTTTTCAGATGCAACTCTGTAAGCTTCCTGCATTTTGTTGACCCAGTTCTGAGCATGGACTGGGTGTGACACCTGTTCATCAGTCTGATTGAGGCCAAACAACCGGTCAATGGGCAGGCGGGGTGGCTGGCCAAAGAAAAGGAAGTGTGGTGAGAAGTCTGTTGCTTCGTGACGAGTGCAGTTGTATGCATGTACGATATGAGGCAAGTGGTCTTTCCATTGAGATTTATTTTCTTCAGGAAGAGTGCATCAGTAGCAGCGTACGATTAATCTGTTCTACTGGGTTTCCCTGAGGATGATCTAGCTTTGTGCGGGAGTGGCCGACCCCTGCCAGCTCCTGAAGGCTTCCAAAGAGTTTGTTTTCAAATTCCCAGCCTTGATCGTGGTGGCGCCTCTGAGGATATCTGATTTTCTCTGCTGCTGTCTTTGCAGACTTGTTGCGGGTGGCGTAGGCCTGTGTAAACCTAGTGAAATTATCAACTAATACTAAGATGTCACGTGTCCTACTTATATCAGTACACTCGTAACAACTTAAGCATTACGAAATGTCTATTCGATCAAATACACGTCACGTAGCAAATAAGCCATTAATTGACCTCCATACAAAAACTCATTTCTTGGTGGGCGAAACGAAAAAAACACCACCTGCTGCATGGAGACAGATTTTCCGCTGAGTTGGGCCTCCCTCTTCCTCTCTGGTTTGTGTCTCGTCGGGGACAATTTTAGCATTTTAGCTAACCCTTTTCCTAACCTTAACCTAATTCTCCTATTCTGCCACGTTAATTATCCTAACCTGCTGCGTAAATTCTCCTAACCTTCTACGAAAAGTCACTTCTGCTAGTCAAAACTGGTAGACCCGCCCTGAGAACAGTCTTGGTTTCCACTAATGCGATACAGCGCTGCTTTAGGTTAGGGGTGAAAAAACCGACTGCTGCAACCTGATTGGCTGAACAAGATATACAACATCCGGGATTAGCATTTAGCCACTCTAGCATGGTGGTGGAAAATTGTGTTTCATAAGGAACACATATTTTACCATTTTCTTTCCTGTCTTCTTGCCATTAAATAAAGTTAAGGAGGAAATCGAAGCCTATGCAGCCTGAATTGAGAATGTATTGCCGGCTGCATATAATGCGTTTGGATGGTAAGATAAATTACTAAATATTGCCATCTGCCAGCCTTTGGGCTATAAGTTAGCCAGCTAACTTGCCTAAGTGTTCTGAAAAAACGTTTAATTTTTTCGAAAGATAAGCTTAAAATGGGCATGGTCTCATTGACTCAACAACCAAAAACACATCTAAGCTTTCTTAATGAACCAGAAAATCAATAGTTATTTCTGGTTGTTCATCAAAGTTAGCTGGCTAACCCATTGATCCTGCTTTGTAGTATACCCCTCTGCCATTGTGTGAGAAGGAAAATAGATTCCACATTATCTAATAGAAACTGCATTTACTGTTTAAGAGAAACCACACTCCTTACCCTTTCTCTGGTACCCCACCTAGGGCAAGTTCAGTCATGCAGCAATTCTTAGAGAATGCGGTTTAGCTGTGGTTGTTTTGAAGGTGCAATTAGGTTTAATTTATCTTGGTAGGTTTGGTTCTTGATGATCCCTGTTTGGATTCTACTGGGGTGACACTACAAGTTCAAAGGTACCCTGGAATGACAACCTGACCATCCTTCATGACTGTTAAAATTCTAATTATAGCTGGTAAACAATACTGAAACCAAAGCTTCTAACTGGGTGCAAGTCTCCTAAACCATAATTATGGACAGTCTGCCGATGCTTTCTTCCTTAGTCTCAGGAAATGCAGGCTTTCCTGTATAACACACATACAAATAAAGCAAGTGGGTCAGTGTTAAATTGACAGTTTTCAGTGTAGGATGAGTCCTGGCTGTGAGAGTACACTACATACATTAGATTTAGGTCAAACCAAACAAAAGGTGTAATTTGCGGAGCCTGAATGACGACTGTCTCTGGTCAAATTTATTCCTTAGCCTCCTCCTAGCTGGCTCTGCTGAAATGCAGCACAGAATTATTATTATCATGAGCAGCACTGTGGAATTTCACCATGTCTCCCTTCTCTAAATGCTTTCAGCTTTCAACTTAATGTGCAATGTGTCCAAGAACTTTGCTTCCAGCAAACAGAGTACAGTAACTAAATTGGAAAGGAATCTGCCGGGAACAGGAGTCTGAATATATTTAGGCAAGATTTCACATAGGGACTTAGGCCTCTCCATACAGTTTGGATGGTGCATACAATGAGGGGCTGTGCAAGATCATGAATATGAGTATTGCATGCCAAACTGGGGGGTTGTGGTGGCTCACTGACTGACTGACTGACAGACTGACAGACACCCCTCTGGCTGCTAAAAGCTCCAGCGCCTTGTTCCTGCCGTTGCCTTCATTTCTCCTCCGGGTTTTATTTTTGGCTACTGACCTTGACAGGAGCCTATCCTCTCCAGCTTCCTCCGGCCAAACACATCCCGTCTGCCTTCCACTACATCAGGAGTGTGCTGTTGAAAGATAATAGTGTCATCATTCTCTCTAGATTGTACTTTCTCTTCGGCAGGTTTTTCTTTGCTTTCTCTTCGGAGTGTTTTAACTTGTTTTGAAGTGTTGATGGATGAATAATAACTTTTGTGTCCTTTGATTTGCAGGTCTTTCTTTAAGAGGAAAGGAGGGAGAAGAGCAGTCACCAACTCTGTTTAAAGGAAGAGTGGTTTAAAACTAAAAAGAAAAGGATAGAACACAGACCCCTGTAAAACTCATTGCCTTCCATAGGCTACTGTGGCTAAACCAGTCGCAGGACAGACTCACTGTGTTTGAGTGTCTGTCTGTACCGGGAGGGCCCTCATGCCTCCACCAACCATGCAGTGAGGGTGAGCTGGCAGTGTGCCCCCTCTCACCATGCTGGCTCTGGGCCTAGAAGAGGGGAGAGGTGGACAGGGCCAGGCTACTGTGGCCTGGCAGGCACCCTCCTCAGGGAGGCCTCTAACCCAGGACCCAGGGAGGCCTCTAACCCAGGGCCCAGGGAGGCCTCTAACCCAGGACCCAGGGAGGCCTCTAACCCAGGACCCAGGGAGGCCTCTAACCCAGGACCCAGGGAGGCCTCTAACCCAGGACCCAGGGAGGCCTCTAACCCAGGACCCAGGGAGGCCTCTAACCCAGGACCCAGGGAGGCCTCTAACCCAGGACCCAGGGAGGCCTCTAACCCAGGACCCAGGGAGGCCTCTAACCCACAAACCAGGCCTCAACATCAAGCAGAAGATCTCTCAGTGGGAAGGCCTCTGTCAACCAGACAGCGGTGGGAAGGCTGATAGGGTCAAAGTGCTTGCACCAGTTGCATCCCGATCTCTTTCGGAGGATGTCCAGGGTAACGGAGTATGTAGTGACAGTAGGATAGGCGGACCTCACGGCAAAGCCAACCTCTCTAAAGCCAAAAGCCTGGGTTTAGATTTCAGGGAAAACCTACAAGCACGGGGCATACACACAGGCGTCAGCAGAAAGTCGGATCCCCCTCAGAATCACTCCTGTTTCAGTAAGACTTCAACTGCAATATCAGAGTCCAAGCCATTTACAGCACCTTCGCAAACTCTTACAACATACACTACAAACATCTTCCAAGTAGAAAGGATCATCACCACCAATGGCGAACTGAAGGTGGGTGGTGTGTTGGAAGTTAAGTTGACCAAACCCCTACCTCTGTCAGTGGATGACCATGGTGAGAGCCTGCCCCCAGGGAATTTCTACACCTCAAGGGGCTTCTGGCGGAGGCTGGAGGGAAATGAGTTGTTCTGGGAGAAGGGAAAAAATACCTCAGCAGAGCCTCAGAGTGCTGTTGGTCCAGTGCCTCACCCGCCACTGAAACCACAACGGACGTTTCAGTATCAAGGAGCAGACAGCACCCCAGCACAATGGGTCCAATGGGATAGCAGGACTCCATCTGCCAACCAATCCAACACCAAGAGCAATGGCATAACCCACCCACCTAGCTTCCCACCACCCCTGTGTCCTGTCAGCCGTGGCAATGGGTTTTCCAGACACAAAAATAGCAGGTAAGATCATGATACTGACACCACTAGGCTAAATCTAAAAGGTCAGTGGGTGTGAGTTATGCCAGAGTAGAATAGAGAAGGTCTTTAATTTGCCATTTTAAACATAGAAAAGTGTTGGCATTTTCCTTTCGTAATGGCTTTAGTCAAAGGAAACCTGGTTGTTTGAAATACAAAACAAGTTAACAATTACTTGGGGTGAAAGTATTTCTCTGTCGTAAGCTATTGTGCTCTCTCATACAGTGTCCTTAGTTCTAAATGTAGCATTGTTTTATATTAAGTCTGAAAGAAGGAGAATGAGAGTGTTTTAGAGGCACAGTTTGCATGAGAGAAGGGTCAGAGTCTAGCATTTGGGCGGCCTCCAGGTCTGATGTCACATGATCTTTGGCAGCATTGCAGACTATTGTCTGGATATGGCCTACTTCCACAGCAGCCAACGGTCCAGGGGTCACATTTCGTTGTTTTAACACACGCAAACAAAACACACACAACATAACACAACACACACTGGCCTTGATTGTTGTATTCCACTAACGTAGTCTCTTTATGAGGGCAATTCCATACGAGCACACAGTAAGGTTTCAAATGACACCAATATTGGCTTTGTAACATCTACAGACTCATTGTTGTAGTGTCTTTAACAAAGGCCTGGGTAAGGCCTAAATGCCACAAATTTCCCAACTTTAATCAGTTATTCTCAATCAGTCTATTAGGTCTACTCTTGTATCTCTTTCCTGCTCTCTCTTGCTCACACTCTCCATATTGACCTTAGCTATTATCCACGTGTTCAATATATTTTTCTCTAAGCTCTCCTTGCTTCTATTTTACACACTTTTTCTCAGCTTTACTTCCTCCCGGACTCGCCTTCCTACGGTCTTTATCATCTTCACTATCAACTTGCGAAAACCCTTCCAATGCCGAGACCCTTTGGCTGAACATAAGAGGACAATACCATGCTGACTGGCCCCATCTCATGTCCCCTCTCCCTCCCTCTTCACAGGAAGTCATTTGAGTTTGAGGATGTGGTGCGGTTGACAGAGCAGCAGGGAAGTGAGGCCAAGCGCTCTGGCCTATACCACGCCTTCTCTGACGACAACATTTATGAGGACATTATCTGTGAGTTCCTCCCTCGACACAAACCGAAAAAAGACACTTCACCAGGGTTTTTTCTGCATAGAAAAGTTTAGGGTTTTTTAGCATATTTTCTTCTGGGATAAAAAAAAGCTTAAATGACTAAAACCAGATATATTATATGTAGAAAAGATAATGGTTCTATACATTTTTAAATAGGATCATCTTTGAGAACTAACAATCACCAAAATAGAAGCTATAAAGTACTCCTGTAGCTCAGTTGGTAGAGCATGGCGCTTGCAACGCCAGGGTTGTGGGTTCGATTCCCACGGGGGGCCAGTATGAAAAATGTATGCACTCACAAAAAAAACGAAATTCTACAAATTTTGCCATGAGGCGGAGAGAACATTTAGTAGTTATACAGCAAAAAAGAGCGTCTGCTAAATTTTAAAAATGATGCATTCAGGAGTATTTTTGTCATGACGTGGGGTCCCCATTGATTTTGTTATAATGTTTGAGTCAGTCAGATAGCATAAGAACACAGCATAAGCCATGGCAAAATTTGTAGAATTGCAGGAAATTATCTTAGACAGCAAAATGTTGTCTTCGCGGCCAAGAGGAGGGCCTTTAACATTTTCGGTCAGTGGGCATGGCCAATGGCGTGCCCCACCCACCACCTAAGCTCCCATTTTGATCCAGAAAAACCCTGACTTCACTTAGGCAGCCTTAAGGCGTCCGCATGCTTCCCAGCTGAAACAGTTTGGTAGTTCGTGCATATACAGTGGGGAAAAAAAGTATTTAGTCAGCCACCAATTGTGCAAGTTCTCCCACTTAAAAAGATGAGAGAGGCCTGTAATTTTCATCATAGGTACACGTCAACTATGACAGACAAAATGAGAAAAAAAATCCAGAAAATCACATTGTAGGATTTTTTATGAATTAATTTGCAAATTATGGTGGAAAATAAGTATTTGGTCAATAACAAAAGTTTCTCAATACTTTGTTATATACCCTTTGTTGGCAATGACACAGGTCAAACGTTTTCTGTAAGTCTTCACAAGGTTTTCAACACACTGTTGATGGTATTTTGGCCCATTCCTCCATGCAGATCTCCTCTATAGCAGTGATGTTTTGGGGCTGTCGCTGGGCAACACGGACTTTCAACTCCCTCCAAAGATTTTCTATGGGGTTGAGATCTGGAGACTGGCTAGGTCACTCCAGGACCTTGAAATGCTTCTTACGAAGCCACTCCTTCGTTGCCCAGGCGGTGTGTTTGGGATCATTGTCATGCTGAAAGACCCAGCCACGTTTCATCTTCAATGCCCTTGCTGATGGAAGGAGGTTTTCACTCAAAATCTCACGATACATGGCCCCATTCATTCTTTCCTTTACACGGATCAGTCGTCCTGGTCCCTTTGCAGAAAAACAGCCCCAAAGCATGATGTTTCCACCCCCATGCTTCACAGTAGGTATGGTGTTCTTTGGATGCAACTCAGCATTCTTTGTCCTCCAAACACGACGAGTTGAGTTTTTACCAAAAAGTTATATTTTGGTTTCATCTGACCATATGACATTCTCCCAATCCTCTTCTGGATCATCCAAATGCACTCTAGCAAACTTCAGACGGGCCTGGACATGTACTGGCTTAAGCAGGGGGACACGTCTCGCACTGCAGGATTTGAGTCCCTGGCGGCGTAGTGTGTTACTGATGGTCGGCTTTGTTACTTGGGTCCCAGCTCTCTGCAGGTCATTCACTAGGTCCCCCGTGTGGTTCTGGGATTTTTGCTCACCGTTCTTGTGATCATTTTGACCCCACAGTGTGAGATCTTGCGTGGAGCCCCAGATCGAGGGAGATTATCAGTGGTCTTGTATGTCTTCCATTTCCTAATAATTGCTCCCACAGTTGATTTTCTTCAAACCAAGCTGCTTACCTATTGCAGATTCAGTCTTCCCAGCCTGGTGCAGGTCTACAATTTTGTTTCTGGGGTCCTTTGACAGCTCTTTGGTCTTGGCCATAGTGGAGTTTGGAGTGTGACTGTTTGAGGTTGTGGACAGGTGTCTTTTATACTGATAACAAGTTCAAACAGGTGCCATTAATACAGGTAACGAGTGGAGGACAGAGGAGCCTCTTAAAGAAGAAGTTACAGGTCTGTGAGAGCCAGAAATCTTGCTTGTTTGTAGGTGACCAAATACTTATTTTCCACCATAATTTGCAAATAAATTCATTAAAAATCCTACAATGTGATTTTCTGGATTTTTTTCTTCTAAATTTGTCTGTCATAGTTGACGTGTACATATGATGAAAATTACAGGCCTCTCTCATCTTTTTAAGTGGGAGAACTTGTACAATTGGTGGCTGACTAAATACTTTTTTTCCCCACTGTATTATGACGACATTTTGTGAAATGTTTGTTTGTTTTGGACTTTGGCTGTTCACAAAAAACAAATCTGGAGGCAAGTCGAAGTTCGGAGCTGAAGTCTACGACCTTTCGTCAGTCATTGGTCAACATTAGGGATTCTTCAATAAAGTCTTTGTTGTCATTCAACGAGAGACGAGAGCATGGAGAGGTCAGCGATAGCCAGACTTGTAAAATGGGCTAAGGAACAGAAGTTGTGTTTTGGAGAAATGCCATCAGTGCATGCTCTGTAAGCAATGCAGTGGATGAAGGCGGGGCAAGAGTGTGGTGAACGGATAGATGTGATTATAGACAGCGAGGAAGCAGGAGAAGAGCCGAGTGTAGTGGGAAGATGGATGTTGAGGAAGAATGGCGTCAGACATGATAAAGAAGAATCTGGACCAGTAGGAGTGACATTTTGGGAGAAAGTGGACCCTTGCCTTTTGGCAGATCCATTTGTGGTTTCAGGGTGGGTGAGAAAGGAGTTGGGTGTAGTTGAATTAGTGAAGGTAACCGGTAGTGGACTTGTGATATTTGTTTGTGTTACTTCTGACCAGAGGGAGAAGGCGCTTCGTGTCACGCAACTTGGGTCAAGATCTGTTTCTTGCTTTGCTCTTAGGAATAGGGCACGATTGAAAGGAGTGATTTCTGTGGTAGCATTAAGTGTGAAGTTGGAGCAATTGAAGTTGAAAATTCCTGGTGTTTGTGATGCCCGCTGTTTGGTGCAACAGAGGAGTCATTGTCAGTCCTTTTGAGTCTACGAGACAAAGTAATGTTAGGATATATCAGTTATCCTGTTAGCGCAATGGTCCAGAATCCACTGCGCTGTTTCAGGTGCAACATTTGTGGTCATGTTGCAGCAGTGTGTAGGAGGAAGATTCCAAGATGTGGGAAGTGTGCAGGAGGGCAAGGGACAGAGGATTGTGTAGTTTTGGTGGATAAAGTTGTGTGTGTCAATTGTAGGGGTGCTCATGTTGCTGGGGATCGGAAGTGTCTGGTGCGAGAGAGGCAGATTGTAGTGGTCAGAGTAGTGCAGAGGGTGTCATATGCTGAGGCAGTGAAGAAAATGGAGGAGGATGGGTCAAGGGTGAGGGATCCTGAGAGGATCCCAGTGAGCAGTAGATTTGTGCCAGTACAGAGGGATGGAGTAACGAGTGAGTTATGCTTCAGTAAGGTTGGCATCTTAGCGTTCATAGCAATGGTTATCAACTGTACCACAGAAATGGAAAGTAAATCACAGAAAATAGATGTTGTGGTGGAAGCTGCAGAGAAGTATTTGGGTATACAAGATTATACTTCAGAAGAGTTACAGGGTGTGTTGAGGGGTGGTGTCCTGTCCTCCCAGGCTGTTGGCATGAGCAGGAGCAGATAGGGTCAAAGTAGTAGAATGGGGTAGTGGGTTTTTAATGAGTGTAGGTGGCAACTGCAGAGAAGTACCTGGGTGTATGAGATTTTACTGCAGAAGAGTTAATGGGGTGGTGATTTATATTTTTATGAAATAGTGGTATATAGGTGTAGGGTTAGTTGGTGGTGCAATTTATTTATATATTTTTCCTTTTAGGAACAGGAATAATTAAATGTATGTAGGTAGGCCATGACTGGCCTCACACGTTAGTACAGTAGTTGGCGGTATCGTGACGTGACTTTCATTATTGTGATGACTATTATTTATCGAATAATTACCTACTATGTTTAACTGTTACTAGATTAAATTAATCATGTAACAATTAACTCATTAGGAACTTGGGGCACCACGGGAAAAGTTGTTTAACATGTTACCGTTTCCCGAATTAACTAAAGATATCTCGTCATTTAACATTTATTAATAATTTACCTCATATCAGTCTCATTCTGAAAGTCGTAGACTCGAAGTCTTCACGAACCCGGGTCTTACTGATCATTCCGTACCACACAAATTGATTTAATTATTTATTTACTAACTAATTAAAATGATAACACAAGATACAAACACGTACACAGTATAGGTAGGGATTAGAAACGTAATACAATGAAAACGGGTCCCTAGCGGACTAACACAATATGACACTTATTACAAAAGATGGCAAGTTAAAGAGAGAGAGAGAAAACACTTGGATACACATGGACCTACACTCACAGTAATCTTAATACCTTGCCCCGAACTGCCACCCGTTTGGTAAGAAGTAATGCATGTATTTACGTGTTGGAGGTATTCGTCGTGTATCTCTGTTGGACCCAGGCCTTCGTGGGAGGGGGTCGATTGGACCATCTCTTTCGGATGGCCTTCTAGATGTAAGGCTCAGATTGTCCACAAGAGGTCACAATGTCCTTCTTCTTAGATGTCTGTTTACTTTCACTCGTTCTGGAAGTGGTCTTCTGAGTACAGCTAATCAGCCGTGTTGATGATCCCATGTGGGGTGATGAGAGCAGTGTAGTAGACGATGGTTTGAAGAGAGTAACAGGATGGTCCCACTTAAATTCACCTTCTTAGATACAGTACTTAGAACAGCTACTCAGCCGTAACATTGATTGTTAGTGGAGGCAACTTTGTCGTCTTCACCTCGTGTTGATTTTCAGGGTCGGGACCAATATGGACCTCGCTGCAGCATGAGGACCGTCTGATCTGATCATTCTTAACTCAATCTTTTATGCACTCTGGTAAAGAGGGGCGTTTCCGTCATACTGACACGCTCTCTGAGCTCCCTCAGGCATGGCTAGTTACGAGGCAAAAGTATTATCATCACTATGATCTTGTTAGAAAGCTAAAATCACATTCCTATCTTCACGAAAACATTGTCTTCCTCCTTGATATTTTCTACACAAGGTAAAGGATGTAACCCTGATATCCACAGTGTAAAAGCTCTTCAAGTCACAGTGTTTTCGTTATAATGCCTTTATTCAATTTTTAATGACATCACAAAATAGGCATTAATTTTCCATATTCCATTTCTCATCATTCCCAACATTTGGATGTTGAAATATATTGTCCCAATGTTCATTGTTGAATGTTGAAGTTTTTGGGCGGCAAAAAGTATCTGAAACAAAGGCATTCCTTTCACCATACTAGAGGGTCAGAGAGAGATTCTCCTCCTCTCTAATTTATGTCAGTGTTAAGGTGTCAAGACCGGCACAGCCCCCCCCCCCCCCCCCCCCCCCCCCCCCCCCCCCCCCGTGGGTAAGAGGGTCTGGTTGTTGTCGGCCATTTGCCAAGCTGATGTGAGGCCTTTGATCCTCACCCAGGGAGAGTCATGACAGCGGTGTATGCACCTTTTAACTTGGATGCGATCTGCCAACCCAGTCCCAAAGAAGAAGAACAAGAGACTACTCGTTTTCGTGCAAATGTTTTCATTGAAAAATACTGCACCAAACATCAGTCGCGGAATTTTACATCTAAGATCTCTTCGGCAAAAACGTCAAAATTAATGACCGATTTCTTGAGTTATCTTAGATTAATTCTGACTGGCGTCTCAAAATGGACAAACAGTACTATTGCCACTTATTTCTATTTTTTTCAAGCGAAGGTCTTTTTAAGGGCGTATTCGAGCACACTCGTTCGGCTAGGCGCCAGCCAAACTGAAGCATGCTGACGCCTTTAGTCGCCTTACAATCTCAGGAACCATCATATAGGAGCCTTTCTTTTCTTATTTCCCCATTCGTAACAACTGATAAAGAAAAGTGTGGGATATAGATTGTCTCCACACTGTCACCTGTCAAGTCTCTTTCTGATCAGTGGTGGATGTGAGGAAAAAGAAAAGCAGCCATTTAAGACCTTTTTGACTTAGTCATGGACTATTAGCAAATATCTACTGTATGTATACTGTGTATGTCATCTGTCTCCATCACCTTTGACCCTGGCCAGCTGGACCCCTGACCAGAGACAACCCATATGAGGATGTCAAGCAGTCTCCTACTATGTGTCTCCCCATCGGGCGTCCCCGACCCTGGACCATGGCACAGAGACCGAACCCTCGCACCCCAAAGGTAGTAATGGCAGCTGTTACAGGAGATGTGAAACAGTTGGTATGATATTTAAAAAAAAACATGCTTTAATCTTTCATTAACACCTTGTCTCCTCTGTCGCAGCTCCCTCCCAAGCCTCTCACGTTGCGGGTGGAGAGGAAGGAGTCACCTACAGAAGCGCCCCCTAGACCTGCCTTACCCAAGCGACCCACAACCACCCATAAAACACACAGACTGCCTCAGGTAAACGCACACAAGCATTTCATAAAGTTGAAACTTTACTGATGGCCCTATCCAATCTAAACCAAACTGGTGCCCATTACAAAACAACCTTTGTCAGTGCAACAAGGAAGTGTGCTTGAATCACATTTATTTGATTGGACACCATTTTTGGACTAGTTTAAGTGGCCAGACATAGCCAGAAATGTCAACATCAATGTGATGATATATCACATGAATGTGATTTATTTGTATCTGATAAATATACCTGTGTGTGCGCGTGCGTGGTTTCCGTGACGCAGTATGTCAACAGGATTCATGTGATCTTTGACACCAAGCGAGGGAAGAAGAGAGTGAAGAGCCAGGGAGGTTCAGCTCGAGGTATGACAATTATTACCCTTCAACTTGTCTACAAGATGTAGATAAAGTGCATTCTGTAAAGACCCAGCGTTTTGAGATACGTTACATCACTGGTACAAATACAGTACAAAGACTGTCTGTCTCCTATAATGTCTCTTTCTTTCATCCCTTTATTACACTCACTCACTGACACACACACACACACACACACACACACACAACAGAGGAGACCAGTGGAACTGAGAGTGACCCAGAGGACAACACTAAAGGTACTACTATAGCATTGACCTGTGAAATTCCACTCCCAAATAAATGTTTGGCAGACGTTTTTTGAATGTTGAGATCAGTCAATGTCCCACGCCGTCTACAGTTGTGTAGATCCATTCATTTTCCATTCACATTTGTTCACATTCCATTGTCATTTAATCAAAGCGAGATATATGATCCTGTTCCCAACCAGATTCACTCATTAGGTATTTTGAAAAATTGTCACTGTCTCCACCAGGAGGGTCCAGGCGCTCAGTCTATGTCCAGTCCACGCTAAAGCGGAGGCCAGGCTACCGCACCCTGGAGAAGGACCTGATCCAGCTCCAGCAACAGCAGCTCTTCCAGTTCTTTGTGGTGGTGTCACTCAGAAAGAGTTTCTCAGGAAACACCTACTCCCCTGAGATCACGCAACAGTTTCCCAACAAGGTTATTGTCAATTGAAACCAATTGAAGCCAACCTCTTTCAGGTGGGGGGGGGCAACAGAGCTAGGTGGATAGACCCACTTACACAATTTGTATAGGGGAAACACTGCTTGATTTACCATGGATGGGCTCAGCTCGAAGGAAACCCCAGAATTTTTATTTTTTTAGTTGCCATTGTACTATTGTCTCTTGTTTCTGTTTTGCTGGCCAGGGGGTAAATTTAGTCGCTCTATATCTTTATCCTTTCTTAACGGCTATAGTTTGAGAAGTCTTCTTGTCACTCCCGTGAAGCAGAAGACCGGCTGAAGGCCATTCCCAAGTTCTGCTTCCCAGACTCTCAGGACTGGCGGCCTTCTGGAGACCTGCACAGGTAAGCTGCTGTCACATTCACATTATGGTCACAGTATGTAGCAGTGGTGTTACAATAAGGCTATTCATGTAATATAAATATTAATATAACCACTTAATATGAGCATTGAAACAGGTAAAACATTTCAAAAGTAGCTACGTTTTTGTAATTATCACTGTGCTAAAATTAAGTTAATGTATGATGATATAAGAATTAAGTCCAAGATATGGCAAATGAAAGGGAGATTTATCTAGTGATTCAGACAAAGAAGAACATGATTGCAGTTCATATGACATGCTTATTTTTTTCCCCGCAGGGAGACTGCACTAGAACACTGCTGAACTCTACCACATTGTGTATCCCTGTCCTATTGTCTATCCTTCTATCTGTCTTTGTAGTGAAACCTTCTCTTTTGTCTTGACGGGAGAGGATGGCAGCCGGTGGTTTTGTTACTGTCGTAAGATCCTGGTGAGTGTGTGTGTATGAGTCATTACGTTGTGTGTGTGTGTGTGAGGACTTGGCAGTAAAGTGCTTACTCAACATTTCTAAGGGATATACTCCATCTGAGTCAGAGGCTGTAAAACCTCTAAATCAATGACCCAAACTAAACAGAATTTCCCATTTGTCCACATGTTAAATCCATGCCTGTACATTTAATGTTAGATTTGTGTGTTTTAAATGCATTGCAGTATTGTTTAATATGACTATTTTATGGTCTGGACTGAGTTTCTGTTACCCCTGGAATGCCAGTGTTGATATAGCATTGCAATAACATTGTTGATACTGAATGCTAGAGTTGGTTTTCATGCCTATTTCTGTGTTGATTTGTGCCCTTTAGCCAAGCGGAAAGGGGAAAAGACTGCCTGAAGTTCACTGTATTGTAAGCAGGCTGGGCTGCTTCAACCTGTTTGCTAAGGTAACCAGCAGTCTGATTAAACTCTTCATAAAATTAAGCAATGAGGCCTGAGGAGGTGTGGTACAGTGGGGGAAAAAGTATTTAGTCAGCCACCAATTGTGCAAGTTCTCCCACTTAAAAAGATGAGAGAGGCCTGTAATTTTCATCATAGGTACACGTCAACTATGACAGACAAAATGAGAAAGAAAATTCCAGAAAATCACATTGTAGGATTTTTAATGAATTTATTTGCAAATTATGGTGGAAAATAAGTATTTGGTCAATAACAAAAGTTTCTCAATACTTTGTTATATACCCTTTGTTGGCAATGACACAGGTCAAACGTTTTCTGTAAGTCTTCACAAGGTTTTCACACATTGTTGCTGGTATTTTGGCCCATTCCTCCATGCAGATCTCCTCTAGAGCAGTGATGTTTTGGGGCTGTCGCTGGGCAACACGGACTTTCAACTCCCTCCAAAGATTTTCTATGGGGTTGAGATCTGGAGACTGGCTAGGCCACTCCAGGACCTTGAAATGCTTCTTACGAAGCCACTCCTTCGTTGCCCGGGCGGTGTGTTTGGGATCATTGTCATGCTGAAAGACCCAGCCACGTTTCATCTTCAATGCCCTTGCTGATGGAAGGAGGTTTTCACTCAAAATCTCACGATACATGGCCCCATTCATTCTTTCCTTTACACGGATCAGTCGTCCTGGTCCCTTTGCAGAAAAACAGCCCCAAAGCATGATGTTTCCACCCTCATGCTTCACAGTAGGTATGGTATTCTTTGGATGCAACTCAGCATTCTTTGTCCTCCAAACACGACGAGTTGAGTTTTTACCAAAAAGTTCTATTTTGGTTTCATCTGACCATATGACATTCTCCCAATCCTCTTCTGGATCATCCAAATGCACTCTAGCAAACTTCAGACGGGCCTGGACATGTACTGGCTTAAGCAGGGGGACACGTCTGGCACTGCAGGATTTGAGTCCCTGGCGGCGTAGTGTGTTACTGATGGTAGGCTTTGTTACTTTGGTCCCAGCTCTCTGCAGGTCATTCACTAGGTCCCCCCGTGTGGTTCTGGGATTTTTGCTCACCGTTCTTGTGATCATTTTGACCCCACGGGGTGAGATCTTGTGTGGAGCCCCAGATCGAGGGAGATTATCAGTGGTCTTGTATGTCTTCCATTTCCTAATAATTGCTCCCACAGTTGATTTCTTCAAACCAAGCTGCTTACCTACTGCAGATTCAGTCTTCCCAGCCTGGTGCAGGTCTACAATTTTGTTTCTGGTGTCCTTTGACAGCTCTTTGGTCTTGGCCATAGTGGAGTTTGGAGTGTGACTGTTTGAGGTTGTGGACAGGTGTCTTTTATACTGATAACAAGTTCAAACAGGTGCCATTAATACAGGTAACGAGTGGAGGACAGAGGAGCCTCTTAAAGAAGAAGTTACAGGTCAGGTGAGAGCCAGAAATCTTGCTTGTTTGTAGGTGACCAAATACTTATTTTCCACCATAATTTGCAAATAAATTCATAAAAAATCCTACAATGTGATTTTCTGGAATTTTTTTCTTCTCAATTTGTCTGTCATAGTTGACGTGTACCTATGATGAAAATTATAGGCCTCTCTCATCTTTTTAAGTGGGAGAACTTGCACAATAGGTGGCTGACTAAATACTTTTTTCCCCCACTGTATATGGCTGTTCTTATGCACGGCGCGACGCTGAGTGCCTGGATACAGCCATTAGCCTTGGTATATTGGCCATATACAGTGCATTCGTAAAGTATTCAGACCCCTTCCCCTTTTCCACATTTTGTTACGTTACAGCCTTATTGTAAAACAATTCCTCATAATTATACGCACAATACCTCATAATGACAAAGCAAAAACAGGTTCTTTAGACATTTTTGCAAATGTATAAAAAATACAAAAACTGAAATACCTTATTTACATAAGTATTCAGACCCTTTGCTATGAGACTCGAAATTGAGCTCAGGTGCATCCTGTTTCCATTGATCATCCTTGAGGTGTTTCTACAACTTGATTGTAGTCCACCTGTGGTAAATTCAATTGATTGGACATGATTTGGAAAGGCACACACCTGTCTATATAAGGTCCCACAGTTGACAGTGCATGTCGGAGCAAAAACCAAGCCATGAGGTCGAAGGAATTGTCCATAGAACTCTGAGACAGGATTGTGTCAAGGCACAGACCTTGGAAAGGGTACCAAAAAAATTCTGCAGCATTGAAGGTCCCCAAGAACACAGTGGCCTCCACCACTAAGACTCTTCCTAGAGCTGGCTGCCCAGCCAAACTGAGAAATCGGGGGAGAAGGGCCTTGGTCAGGGAGGTGACCAAGAACCCGATGGTCACTCTGACAGAGCTACAGAGTTCCTCTGTGGAGATGGGAGAACCTTCCAGAAGGACAACCATCTTTGCAGCACTCCACCAATCAGGCCTTTATGGTAAAGTGGCCAGATGGAAGCCACTCCTCAGTAAAAGGCACATGACATCCCGCTTGGAGTATGCTAAAAGGCACCTAAAGGACTCTCAGACCATGAGAAACAAGATTCTCTGGTCTGATGAAACCAAGATTGAACTCTTTGGCCTCAATGCCAAGAGTTTCGCCTGGAGGAAACCTGGCACCATCCCTACAGTGAAGCATGGTGTTGGCAGCATCATGCTGTGGGGAGGTTTTTCAGCGGCAGGGACTGGGAGATTAGTCAGGATCAAGGGAAAGATTAATGGAGCAAAGTACAGAGAGATCCTTGATGGAAACCTGCTCCAGAGCGCTCAGGACCTCAGACTGGGGTGAAGGTTCACCTTCCAACAGGACAACGACCCTGAGCACACAGCCACGACAACACATGACTGGCTTCGGGACAAGTCTCTGAATGTCCTTGAGTGGCCCAGCCAGAGCCCGGACTTGAACCCAATCAAATATCTCTGGAGAGACCCCATCCAACTTGACATAGCTTGAGATGATCTGCAAATAAGAATGGGAGAATCTCCCCAAATACAGGTGTGCCAAGCTTGTAGTGTCATACCCAAGAAGACTCGAGGCTGTAATCGCTGCCAAAGGTGCTTCAACAAAGTACTGAGTAAAGGGTCTGAATACTTATCTAAATGTGATATTTCCGATAAAAAATAAAAATAAAAATACTGTTTTTACTTTGTCATTATGGGGTATTGTGTGTAGATTGATGAGGGGGGAAAAAACAATTTAATCAATTTTAGAATAAGTCTGTAACGTAACAAAATGTGAAAAAGGTCAAGGGGTCTGAATACTTTCCAAATGCACTGTAGCACAAACCCCTGAGGTTCCTTATTGCTATTATAAACTGGTTACCAACGTAATTAAAACCAATATAAAGTTATTTTTTTGTCATACTCGTGGTATTGGCTTTCAGCCAATCAGCATTCAGGGTTCAAACCAGTTCATAAAATACATTTTAGCCTGCTTGTACACATAGATTCAAAGGGTTCAAACTAAAGTCTGTGAAAATGTCCTAGCTAATCAGAAGGGTGTGTTTTGAGGATAATTGATATACTTTAGGATGTGTTATTATGTACCACCCATTTTCGAGTCGGTGCAGGCAAGAGAGACAGGTGTAAATAAAAGGTTTGTTCATAGACAATGAAGCAAGCAGCTAGTATGTTATGTAGTCTTGGTGTAGTCCCTTGTTGATACTTCTTTGTGTTTAGGGGTGTAGTTATGGAGTTATATACTGTAGGCTTGTCACGATACCAACATTTTACAAACGATACGATACCAGGCCAAGTATCATGATACCACAGATACCACAGTGGAAAAAAATCTGTGGCCTAGCATCCTGTTCAACCCATCCCCAGGACACTTGTTCACGCTTTCTAAACGTTCTCCAAAAACCTCACTGAAATTCACACATTGAATTTAACTTCACACTGTTCAGTGTATACTGTAATAGAATACTGCATAGATTGACTGATTTGCACATATTTGGAAAGGCCTACCTGTGATTTGGCTGGAGGAATGGGAGGAAGGAATATACATGCATAATGATCTGCATGTGATTTTGTCAGTAAGGGGAAAAACACTGTATGAAACCTTTAGTCTTCAGTTAACACAGACACACACACACACACACTCTGTCTCCCTCGCTCTCACACACATACACACACTGCTCCCAACTTTTAAAACGTTAGGCACAAAACAGAATTTAAGGAGCACCAGAAAGAAAGATTTTTGATATAGTTTAGGTTTACTTTAGGCCTATATGAATCCTACCTTTTGAAGCACATCTCATGAGTAGCAGACCCTTTTCCTTTCTTCCTGGGGCAAATAAAATTTGCCTGAACCTACTGTCAAGTTACCAGGTTGTTAGCTAGCTAGGTAACATGACTGAACAACGTTGTTCGTTATCAAACCAATAATTAGCGACCCTGGATTAGTGTAAAACGGCCCGTGACATGGTTTGTGAAATTATATAATATGCCGATAGAAAGAAAAAAGGTATCTCTGGTAATATGGGTCATTCTTTTAACGGTTTAGGCTAGAGACCAGTTGTTTTCTTTGATGTAAAGCTGCAAGCATGCCTGTCACAAAGCAGTGTTCCATTTTCCCTCTCTGACACTCAGAGGCTGCATGACCGTGAACTTGCTAGTCTACTTAGACTGGTCTGTGCTCTTGGTTATAACAGGTGATGAAATGATACAATGTGTTAACTTTGCACGCTGCTCCAATGTTACAAATGTAACAACAGAAGACTCGTCTGGGTCTGCATCCCCGCTTGCTATCACTGCTAAATTATATATTTTTTAAACTGACGGCGGAATAGACGCGCATGAAGAGCGGACAGAGAGAAGCAGGTGAGTGAGGGCTGGTAGGGGATGTAGCTGGCTGATTACAGCTGCCACACATGATATGCACATGAAAGTGAAGTGGCTATTATTGGACCTGCACATACAAGACTAGTGGCTGTTGCTTCAATTCAACTGAAATTATAAACAGGTTCTTTAGAAAAAGTCAGTAGTATAATATGAAATGTTGCTACGATATTCTAAAATGTTGGCTTCATAAGTATCATGACGTTTTGGTAATGGTATACCATGCAACACTAATATATTGTGTGTCTGTGTGCGTGTATGTTTTCAGATCTTGGAGGAGGTAGAGAGGCGCAGGGAGATCTGTCCAGCCCTAGTGTCCCCCTTCATGCGTAGCGTCATGGAGGCTCCTTTTCCCGCCCCTGGATGCACCATCACACTCAAGAGCTTCCTCCCAGGCTCAGGAAATGAGGTGACACAATCACACAACTAAGAGGACCTCTAGGACTCTATGTAAAGAGTAACTACAGGGGGAGATAGGGCAAAAGTCTGTCCTCTCCTCGACGACTCCTCTCCTCCGTCCCCCGGAAACTGAAAAGTGGTCTTATGTAGGAGAGTGTCAATTTATGAATAGGCGAACAGAGGAGTGTCTTCCTCTTCTCGATAGCCTCCTCCCGCCAAGGAAGCACAAGTGTATCCTCCCAGCGGCTAGCGTGTAAGTGTTTTAAAATCCGCAACACCCCCTTTTAATTAGCAGCTGTTTTCTCGAAGGAGAAAAGCATGCACACATTTAAAAATGATACACTACTTATCCTTTTATCTATTAAATGTCTTGCACAACTAGCTACATTTATTTTCCCTACTTTACACATTTATTTTGAGATTCCACCCCTGTAAACATAATTTGCATGATTTGCTAGTAGAGGAGAGTCCCATTTCATACAAGCGCATTTGCTTTCACGTTTCCTCTCCTCCCCTCCTCTCCTCGATTACATTTGACTTTTCAAAAGTAGGCAAGAATTTGAGCAAAACAAATTAAGAATCTCCCAGGGAGTTAGGAGAAGTAAAAAGAGGAAGTGACACCTTTTAGTTAAGTTCCTACCTGGCTCTTTATTGCAGACACTATGTCAACAATATCTGCAATTTCTCTGCCCAGCAATCAACTGTTGTTGTAAGAGTTGTGTTTGGTCAAATAACTGAGCAATAGCCAACCTGTTTGTGTGTGTGTGTGTGTGTGTGTGTGTGTGTGTGTGTGTGTGTGTGTGTGTGTGATCAGGTGCTGACGCTGTACCGGCCGGTAGACTCAAGGCTGGAGCACGTGGACTTTGAGAGCCTGCTGCAGTGCCTGAGTGTTGGGAGACTCCTACAGGTGTTTGCCTCTCTACTACTGGAGAGGAGGGTCATCTTCATTGCTGACAAACTCAGGTAAGGAGTTTCCTCTAGTACACACAGGTTCACTGTCATCTCCAGCTCGGCTTGGGAGACAATGGAAGGGCAGGAACAGCATAGCACTGGTCCGGGGTGGAATGTATTGTGTGCTTTGCTCTTCTGTTGGTCGATGTGAAAGTACATAGTGTAGTCTTAGTGAACAGACCGTATGGACTCCATATATTTGACATGCCTTGTCTGTAAAGTGGGTGCCTCTTCTCAGGAATGTAACATCTCTTCATCCGTCTCTCCTCTCTTCAGCGTTCTGTCTCGTTGTGGCCATGCCGCGCTGGCGCTGCTCTACCCGTTCACCTGGCAGCATACATTTGTGCCCGTGCTGCCCGCTAGCATGCTGGACATTAGCTGCTCTCCCACTCCCTTCCTCATGGGGGCGCTGGCGCCCTGCCTGCCTGAGCTTCTGGAGCTGCCCATAGAGGAGGTCAGTGACAAAGGTCACCATCTGATTCCCAGTGGCTAGTCACTAGATGGCTAGGCTACAAAGGACAATATTTTCTATTTCGTCAGAATTGACGAGCAAGTATCTGACTGATTTAGTTCCTTGATAAAGGGTTAGGGTTATTTCAAATTCTGTCGTGCACAGTTTATCAGACTTAAAAGGTAGACTCAGCGATATGACGTAGATGCAGAAAGTAAACAGCATAGGGGGTCAATTTCCACAACAACTAAGAGCGTTTAAGCCCGAGGTTCAACTTCTCTGCTGTTAGTGGTCCTATGGCTACCACGCTGTAACAGCGTGACGTTAGCGAACCCTTGCACATGCGCAGATACTGTGGGTGACTGTGTGAGAGCAAAGTGTTGCATCTCGCTCATCTCAATATCTGCGGTGCTGCTCATGGCAATGTCATTTCTCTGAGTCTACCTTTAATAAAGTATTTTAGTGCCACCTAATGGTAATTCTATGAACGTCATTACAGTAGGACTAACAAAAAACTGTGCAGTATCAATCTGCAAACAATTACTAACAGTTAATGGTAGAAAGTCTCTGATGTATAATGTAAAGCCTAATACATTTGACCTGTGTTCATTTTGTCATTGATATTTTAAAGGTTCTGTCTCTGTTTTGCATTCTAGGTGCTTATTGTGGATTTATGCACGGACAAGTTTGTCAAACAGGTGTGTATACTGGCTGTTGTATTTAATTGCAACTCATGAAAGATAGGTGTGGTTCCAAAACACAAGTGAATAGGACATGAGGAACACTTTGTCTGTGCATGTCTGCGTTCCATCCTTGACCTGGGATTGTCTTTTGAAGTGACAATGTTGAATATTAATGCAACTTGATGATTTCATACAACACATACCAGAGCTTGACTTTATCTTGGATGTAATCCAAGTTCACATAGTGAGAGTATTGAATAGTAGTAGCTATGGAATTTTGCTTCTTTCTCACTCAGAGATCCTATTGGGCTGCTGATATTGATGGCTAGTTTCTATGACAACCATTTTTAATGCATAGGTCAGGGATGGGCAACTTTGATTGGGTGGAGGCCACAAAAAATCGGAACTCATCATGAGGGGCCGCAGTGGCTCGCAGGTCTGCATACCCACATATGCAGTCAGAGCCGGCCCTAGCCTTTTGTGGGCCCTAAGCAACATTTTGTTAGACTAACTTACCCAATCTAAAAATGTTTAGCTGACATGGGCTAATTGTGTTATAGTCAGTGACTGACATAACAAGAGAAAAACAGCTGATGCACAACCAAATTTATATTTTGCACCTTGTGTATTCTACTATTCTAACTCTCAACAGTAATCCCCCACAAAAAAAATTATGTTTTTGCAGGCCGCCAGTTGCCCATCCCTGGCATAGGTGAATATACGGGTAGCCAGCTGCCTTGTTTCACATCAGTAGTAGGCCATCTCTTGCATGATGCGAGTTGCCCTGGGCTCTCCTGTTAACTACTCCTTGTTTCCAAGCTTGGTGATGAGGACTGTATCTTGCCAAGTAAGCTTCAGGCTGCACTGCTGCAGATCCTGGAGGAGAGAGAGCAGATACTGCGGCAAGATGAAGGAGACTGCACAGGAGGTTTGAACAGCAATCTATTACTACATATCCATCTTGAAAACAGCCTCGCAGCCGAAACGTTGAAAAAACAATGACTCCTTTCAGTCCCCTTGTCTCTCTGTCCATGTGTTGGATATAGGGTAATTGTATAGAAAGCCAATTCTTGAAGCATTCTTCACTCGCCTCTCCATTTTAACACCATCTACTTTAAGTAACTGTCCCCCTCCCTCCTATCTGTCCTTCAGGTAGCGTAGCCTAGGGCGGCAGGTCAGTAACCAAAAGGGCTGGTTCGAATACCTGAGCCGTCAAGATGACGTGTTCTTGTGCAAGGCACTTAACCCTAATTTGCTCCAGGGGCGCCGTACTACTATGGTTGACCCAGTAAAACATCACAGTTCACTGCACCTATCAGGTGTATGTGACAATAAAACATGTATTCCCTGCAGGCCAGCAGTGTGGGCTGAGCTCCCTGGTGTCGGAGGCCTTTGTGCATTTCTTTGTGGAGCTGGTGGGCCACTACTCCCTCCACATTGGCGAGAGCAGCGCCAGCCGGACTCGGGAGCTGCAGAGGGAGAGCTTCCGCAAGTCCCACCCCTCCCGCGGGGCCCGCCAGTTCCTGCAGCTCTTCATGGACACACAGATGTTCGCCGGCTTCATCCACGACAAGGAGCTGCGCAAGGGAGGGGGCAAAGGTCAGGGAGGGGCCTATCAGTGGCCCTGTTGTTGGAATATTTTGAGAATGCATTCTTCCTTCCTCTAAGTAATCACCTCTTATCTGACATGACAGTCTGGGCTGGTAAAAGCAGTTCATAAACACCTAAATGTATTTCCTTGCGTGCCTTGTACTATGCTGTTTTCTCCCCCTCCCACAGGGCTTTTTGAATTTAGAGCTGCAGAATATCTGGCCTCAAACCCTGAATCTAGCGGGTTCCTCAAGGGACTCAAAGGACTCGGTTAGTAGTGCTCCATTCATAACATTAAATTCAACAAATACCATTTTTACTGTGAGGTAAATAATTTTGTCCATTTTATTTTCAGGGATGAAATTCCTATTGAAGAAGTGACAATGTCAGCACTCTGGTTGAAAATGCTTCTGTAGGAGAAGATCAGGATCTTCCGCCGGATTGGCCAAGACACGTGTGCATATGATGTCACAGCTATAGATATGTACTTGAATCGACCAGAACATAATGGTGTTTGGCACATAGGTCCACAGTCTTAGATATAAGGCTCGGGTTGAGACACGACCATTCTCTTTGTATTGCCCTAAAAGCACTCCATGCTGGAGTGAAGTGCAATTGTAATTGGAGGAAAACTGGAAATGTGCATTTATGTGCAAACAAGCTTCGATGAAGACTTGACATAGCAGAAGAAAGGCAGGAGGAAACATTTCAGCTACAAGACCTGCTTTTAACTTAAGCAAATGCCATCATAAACTAACCCATGCCGTTTTCTGTCTTTTGCTCTTCATTTTTTTAAATGTTTGGTTTTAGCCAAGTGTTTTGAGTGTTTGCTCTCAGTATTATGGATAAAGTTATTTCTAAGTTTAGTTTTGAACTTGTGTCTAGCATGTCTAGTTGGAGAAAAATAAGGTAGGCTACTCTTGTTACCCTTCAGCACTCTGTTACAAAACAATGTAAGAATAATTGTATTGTGTGCATGATTGTTATTTTAAAAATGACATTACATGTTTTTAAACTGAGGTTAATGTATGTTGTCCCTGACATTTTGTTGTCCTTGACAAATGTTCCAAATAATGTTTGGATCATTAAGATAATGCATTATATTCACATTTCTAACCGATTTTTAATAGCTCAATTCTGTATAGCTCATTCTGTAACAAAATATTTTGTTTACAATTTTTAGCTACTATTATGCATTGTTTTGAATTGTGAACTTAATGTGAGATTGTATGAGCCTGTTAGAATACCCTAGTAATTTGATATGACAGGTGAAAGCTCTTCACAAAGTTTGATAAAAACATTTGATGTTCCCATGTGGGTTTAGAAAGCCATAAACAGAGACCAGAAACTAGTCACACCTCAATCCTATTGACTGAAGTTGTGTACTTTTGAACTAATTGTAAAATGTGTGTGTATATATATATATATATATATATATAACTCAGCAAAAAAAGAAACGTCCTCTCACTGTCAACTGCGTTTATTTTCAGCAAACTTAACATGTGTAAATATTTGTATGAACATAACAAGATTCAACAACTGAGACATAAACTGAACAAGTTCCACAGACATGTGACTAACAGAAATTGAATAATGTGTCCCTGAACAAAGGGGGGGTCAAAATCAAAAGTAACAGTCAGTATCTGGTGTGGCCACCAGCTGCATTAAGTACTGCACCAGATTTGCCAGTTCTTGCTGTGAGATGTTACCCCACCATCTTCCACCAAGGCACCTGCAAGTTCCCGGACATTTCTGGGGGGAATGGCCCTAGCCCTCACCCTCCGATCCAACAGGTCCCAGACGTGCTCAATGGGATTGAGATCCGGGCTCTGCCCTGGCCATGGCAGAACACTGACATTCCTGTCTTGCAGGAAATCACGCACAGAACGAGCAGTATGGCTGGTGGCATTGTCATGCTGGAGGGTCATGTCAGGATGAGCCTGCAGGAAGGGTACCACATGAGGCAGGAGGTTGTCTTCCCTGTAACGCACAGCGTTGAGATTGCCTGCAATGACAACAAGCGATGATGCTGTGACACACCGCCCCAGACTATGACGCACCCTCTACCTCCAAATCGATCCCACTCCAGAGTACAGGCATCGGTGTAACGCTCATTCAATCGACGATAAACGCGAATCCGACCATCACCCCTGGTGAGACAAAACCGCGACGCGTCAGTGAAGAGCACTTTTTGCCAGTCCTGTCTGGCCCAGCAACGGTAGGTTTGTGCCCATAGGCGATGTTGTTGCCGGTGATGTCTGGTGAGGACCTGCCTTACAACAGGCCTACAAGCCCTCAGTCCAGCCTCTCTCAGCCTATTGCGGACAGTCTGAGCACTGATGGAGGGATTGTGCGTTCCTGGTGTAACTCGGGCAGTTGTTGTTGCCATCGTGTACCTGTCCCGCAGGTGTGATGTTCGGATGTACCGATCCTGTGCAGGTTTCCCACGCGGGGCCAGTATGAAAAAATGTATGCACTCACTAACTGTAAGTCGCTCTGGATAAGAGCGTCTGCTAAATGACTAAAATGTAAATGTGTTGCTACACGTGGTCTGCCACTGCGAGGACGATCAGCTGTCCGTCCTGTCTCCCTGTAGCGCTGTCTTAGGCGTCTCACAGTACGGACATTGCAATTTATTGTCCTTGCCACATCTGCAGTCCTCATGCCTCCTTGCAGCATGCCTAAGGCACGTTCACACAGATGAGCAGGGACCCTGGGTATCTTTCTTTTGGTGTTTTTCAGTCAGTAGAAAGGCCTCTTCCATAACTGTGACCTTAATTGTCTACCGTCTGTAAGCTGTTAGCGTCTTAACGACCGTTCCACAGGTGCATGTTAATTAATTGTTTATGGTTCATTGAACAATCTTTACAATAACGATCTGTGAAGTTATTTGGATTTTTACAAATTATCTTTGAAAGACAGGGTCCTGAAAAGGGGACGTTTCTTTTTTTGCTGAGTTTATATATACACTACCGTTCAAAAGTTTGGGGTCACTTAAGAATTTCCTTGTTTTCCAATGAAAACATACATGAAATGAGTTTGAATAGGAAATATAGCAAAATGCATAGGACATGTAGTCATTGACAAGGTTAGAAATAATGATTTTTAATAGAAATAATAATTGTGTCCTTCAAACTTTGCTTTCATCAAAGAATCCTCCATTTGCAGCAATTACAGCCTTGCACACCTTTTTTTATTTTATTTCACCAGGTAAGCCAGTTGAGAACAAGTTCTCATTTACAACTGCGACCTGGCCAAGATAAAGCAAAGCAGTGCGATAAAAACAACAACACAGAGTTACATATGGGGTAAACATAAAGTCAAAAATACAACAGAAAATGTATATACAGTGTGTGCGAATGTAGTAAATTATAGAGGTAAGGCAATAAATAGGCAATAGTGCAAAATAGTTACAATTTCGTATTAACACTGGAATGATAGATGTGCAAAAGATTATGTGCAAATAGAGATACTGGGGTGCAAATTAGACAAATAAATAACAATATGGGGATGAGGTAGTTGGATGGGCTAATTACAGATGGGCTGTGTACAGGTGCAGTGATCGGTAAGCTGCTCTGACAACTGACGCCTAAAGTTCAGAGTTTTTTGCGGTTCGTTCCAGTCATTGGCAGCAGAGAACTGGAAGGAATGGCGGCCAAAGGAGGTGTTGGCTTTGGGGAAGACCAGTGAGGTATACCTGCTGGAGCGCAGACTACGGGTGGGTGTTGCAATGGTGACCAGTGAGCTAAGATAAGACGGGGATTTGCCTAGCAGTGATTTATAGATGACCTGGAGCCAGTGGGTTTGCCGACGAATATGTAGTGAGGGCCAGCCAACAAGAGCGTACAGGTCACAATGGTGGGTAGCGGCATGGGCAAGTTGCAGCGGAGGGTGCAGAGCTGGTGGCCGGGGTAGTGGTAGCCAGGTGGAAAGCATGGCCAGCCGTAGCAAAATGCTTATTGAAATTCTCAATTATTGTAGATTTATCGGTGGTGACAGTGTTTGGGGGCTACAGGGCCTGGGTTAACCTCTACATCACCAGAGGAACAGAGGTGGAGTAGAATAAGGATACGGCTAAATGCTTTAAGAACTGGTCTGCTAGTGCGTTGGGTACAGAGAAAAAAAGGGGCAGATTTCCAGGCGTTGTAAAATAGATTCAGGGCATTATGTACAGACAAGGATATGGAAGGATATGAGTACAGTGGAGGTAAACCTAAGTGTTGGGTAACGATGAAAGAGATAGCATCACTGGAGGCACCGATTGAGTCGGTCTCCGCGTGTATGGGGGGTGGGACAAAGGAGCTGTCTAAGGCAGGTTGAGCTGGGCTGGGGACTCTACAGTGAAATAGTATAATAAGAAATAACCGAAACAGCAATAAGCAAGGCATATTGACATGGGAGAGAGGCATAAAGCAATCGGCTTGCGTGTGCTAGCGGGCCGGGGCTAGCAGATGGATCTTCGTGGTCGACGTCGTAACGGGAAGCCTGTTGAAACCACATCAGACGATTTCGTCGGAAAACCAGTCGTGTTGGATCGGCGGGGCTCCGTGTCAACACTAGGAGGTCCCGTCCAGTTGACAGAGGTAGATAGCCGGGAGATGGGCCTGGCTCGAGGCTAGCTCAAGGCCAACTGTTGCTTGCTAAGGGGCAATGGTAATTAGCCAACGCCAACAGCCATTTGGTTGCAGCTAGCTGGTTGCGATGATCCGGCGCTAGGGTCCAGTGATTCCGGCAGAAAATCCAATATGCTCTGGGTCGATAGTGTCTTGGCATTCTAGTTGTCAATTTGTTGAGGTAATCTGAAGATATTTCACCCCATGCTTCCTGAAGCACCTCCCACAAGTTGGATTGGCTTGATGGTCACTTCTTACATACCATACGGTCAAGCTGCTCCCACAACAGCTCAATAGGGTTGAGATCCGGTGACTGTGCTGGCCACCCCATTAGAATACCAGCTGACTGCTTCTTCGCTAAATAGTTATTGCATAGTTTGGAGCTGTGCTTTGGGTCATTGTCCTGTTGTAGGATGAAATTGGCTCCAATCAAGTGCCGTTCACAGGGTATGGCATGGCGTTGCAAAATGGAGTGATAGCCTTCCTTCTTCAAGATCCCTTTTACCCTGTACAACTTTCTCACTTTACCACCACCAAAGCACCCCCAGACCATCACATTGCCTCCACCATGCTTGACAGATGGCATCAAGAACTCCTCCAGCATCTTTTCATTTGGTCTGCGTCTCACAAATGTTCTTCTTTGTGATCCGAACACCTCAAAC